GCTCTTTTGCTCTTCCCTCCTTATGCCGGTCGGATGCCCCGCAGCAATCTTTACTGGACGGACTGGAACCGCGAAGCCCCAAAGATCGAGACGTCCACCGTGACAGGAGAGCACAGGCGGATTCTGGTCAACAAAGACATCGGGCTGCCCAACGGCTTGACCTTCGACCCCTTTTCCAAACGGATTTGTTGGGCGGATGCAGGTAACTGGGAAACTGGGCGAAAAGGAATGTTAAGTGTGTGGACTGGGAGAACCGGGTTTGATTCCCCACTCCTCCACTTGCACCTGGCCGGATGACCTTGGGCAAGCCAGAGTTCTGTCAGAGCTGTCCTTGAAAAAGAGCAGTTTCTGTCAGAGGTCTCTCAGCCCCACCTGCCTCACAGGGTGTCTGTTGTGGGGAGGGGAAGGGAGAGGAGTTTGTAAGCCGCTCTGAGACTCCAAGTGAAGGGTGGGGTATAAATCCAATCTCTTCTTCTTCTTCTTCTTCATCACCTGCGGTTGTGCTTTTAACAGACCAACCAGGTCCCTACGCCTTCCCTTCGATCTATTATTTAGAACCAAGACGCAGGTGACTGCAGACCTTAACCGTGAACAGATGCTTTTAAGAACCTTTTGTGTGTTTTTTTTTTTTAATTGAGAAAATTCTTGATCTATTCTAGACACCCTCATCTCTTCTTGGCCAGTGTGAATAGCTGCAGAGGCTTTCTTTATCAACCTGCATTTTAATGTTACTCTTCCTCCGCAGAATTCAGGCAGGGCTTGCGTGGTCGCCCCCATCTCCCTCACAAGAGCCCTGTGAGGCGGGCTAGGCTGAGGGATAGGAGCTGGCCTAGGATTGTCAACCGACATCAGAACATCAGAGAAGCCATGTTGGATCAGGCCAGTGGCCCCATCCAGTCCAACACTCCATGCCACACAGTGGCCAAAACCCAGGGGCCCTCAGGAGGCCCACCAGCGGGGCCAGAACTCCAGAAGCCCTCCCCCTGTGGCCCCCCCGAGCACCGAGAAGACAGCACATCACTGCCCCAGACAGAGTGTTCCATCTATTTTTGTTGTTGTTGTTGTTCAGTCGCACAGTCGAGTCCGACTCTTCGCGACCCCATGGACCAGATCACACCAGGCCTTTCTGTCTTCCGCCGTCCTCTGAAGATGGCTCAATTTCATGTTCGTTGCATCTATGACACTGTCTAGCCATCTCATCCTTTGCCGTCCCCATCTTCTTTGACCTTCAGTCTTTCCCAGCATCAGGGTCTTCTTCTCCAGTGAATGCTCCCTTCTCATTGGGTGGCCAGAGTATTTGAGCTTCAGTTTCATTATCTGGCCTTCCAGGGAACAGTCAGGGTTGATTTCTTTGAGGATTGACTGATTTGATCTTCTTGCAGTCCAAGGGACTCTCAAGAGTCTTCTCCAGCACCATAGTTCAAAAGAATCTATTCTTCGGCGCTCGGCCTTCCTTATAGTCCAACTCTCGCAGGTCCATCTATACCTTGTGGCTAATAGCCACTCAGGGACCTCTGCCCCATGGTTTTTCCCAATCCCAACATAAGAGAAGCCATGTTGGATGAGGCCAATGGCCCATCCCAGTCCAACACTTCGTGTCACACAGTGGCCCAAAATACCAGGTGCCATCAGGAGGTCCACCAGCGGGGCCAGGACTCCAGAAGCCCCTCCCACTGTGCCCCCCAAGCACCCAAGAACACAGAGGATCACTGCCCCAGACAGAGTATTCCCTTTATACCTTGTGGCTAATAGCCACTGATGGACCTCTGCTCTGTATGTTTCTCCAATCCCCTCTTGAAGTTGTCTGTGCTTGTAGCTGCCACCACTTCCTCTGGCAGTGAATTTCACATATTCATGACTCTTTGGGCGAAGAAGGACTTCTTTCTATCTGCTCTAACCCGACTGCTCAACAATTTCATGGGGTGCGCCCACGAGTTCTTGTCTTGTGAGAATGGGAGAAAAGGACTTCTTTCTCTGCCTTCTCTATCCCAGGCATAATTTTATAAACCTCGATCATGTCACCCCTCAGTTGTCGTTTTTCTAAGCTAAATTCTTCTGGAATTACAACTGCAGTCTCCACACGGCAGAGATCGGTTCCCCTGGAGAAAATAGCTGCTTAGATCAGCCAATCAGTAGCGTTGAAAACATCATCCTTGTGAAATTATGTCGTCGCCAGTCACCTGCTAGTTGGCAAAAGCCTGTCCCAATTTCATGTCAGTTTTCAACGCTATGAAGTAACTGGATGTATATTGGCTTCTAATGTAATTTATTGTAGGGGCCTTGACCTTTTCTGCAATTTTGCAGCTCAATTCACCAAGGGTGCTTATGGATTTTTTTTACTTCTTCCAGACCTGATGAGGATTATTTTTGAAATGGGATTGTTAACCGGCTGCCCGTAGTCTTGCTCGATAATTGTCGGATATTTCTTCTTCTTGCTCTATAATTGTCGAATATTTGTGGTGCTTATTTTTTTTGGATATTGTTCACTCTGATACATTACCCTCGAATTTGAGCAGTGTCTGTAAATAGTTACACAGAGCAGAGGTTTCAAACGGACTACTTAGCTGGAAAGATATTTTCACAGCTGATTTAGAAATTTTAAGGAGTCATGCTCACTATTTGACTCAGCAGCCAGTTCACACGGTGTTCTTGTAATTCTTTGGCCTCTGTGTGAGACAGGATGCAAGGCTAGATGGACCCCTGGTCTGATCCAGCAGGGCTCTTCTGATGTTCTAATTAAGTCCTTGGCCTCTCTGCCCTGTTGTGGGCCCTCCAGAGGAACTAGTTGGCCTCTGTGTGAGACAGGATGCTGGACTACATGGACCCTCATTGGTCTGATCCAGCAGGGCTCTTCTGGTGTTCTTAAATGCAGCCTCATAAGAACATGAGAACATAAGAGACGCCAATGTTGGATCAGGCCAAAGGCCCATCCAGTCCAACACTCTGTGTCACACAGTGGCCAGAAATACCAGGTGCCATCAGGAGGTCCAGCAGTGGGGCCAGGACACTAGAAGCCCTCCCACTGTTTCCCCCCCAACTCCAGCACCAAGAAGACAGAGCATCACTTGCCCCTGAGCCCCTATCTATACCTTGTGGCTAATAGCCACTGATGGACCTCTGCTCCATATGCTTACCTAATTCCCTTTTGAAGCCGTCCATGCTTGTAGCCGCCACCACTTCCTGTGGCGGTGAATTCCATGTGTTCATCACTCTTTGGGTGAAGAAGGACTTCCTTTTATCCGTTCTAACCCGACCGCTCAGCAATTTCATGGAGTGCCCACTTGAATTCTTGTATTGTGAGAAAGGGAGAAAAGTACCTCTTTCTCTACCTGCTCTATCCCACGCATAATCTTATAAACCTCGATCATGTCTCCCCTCAGTCGTCGTTTCTCCAAGCGAAAGAGCCCCAAGCGCTTTAACCTTTCCTCATAGGGAAAGTGTTCCAACCCTTTTATCATTTGCGTTGCCCTTTTCTGCACTTTTTCCAAAGCTATAATATCCTTTTTAAGGTGTGGTGCCCAGAACTGCACACAGTATTCCAAATGAGGTCTCACCATTGATTTATATAGGGGCATTATGATATTGGCTGATCTGTTTTCAATACCCTTCCTAATAATCCCCAGCATAGCATTGGCTTTTTTTATTGCAGTCACACACTGTCTCGACATTTTCAGTGAGTTCTCTACTACGACTCCCAAGATCTCTCTCTTGGTCAGATCTCTCCAAGCCTCCAGCTGCAGAGTCCTGTTAGGACAGTCATGCTAAGCATTTCTGTAGCATTTTCAGTGTTCATAGCTCTCCAGGTTCCTAATCTTATAACTTTTAAAACAACCCTGCGAGGTAGGCCTGTTTTGCCAGGCATGGGGCGGGGTTGGATTTGAATGACGGTTTGCCGACAGGCAGCTCATGAATTCGTCGCATTCTCGACCGCGCCTCGGAAGGGGCAAACGGGGGGAAGGGGGGGTCTGTTCCCTGACGAAGTCTCTTCTTTGCAAAGGAACCAAGAAGCTGGAGTGCGCCCTGCCTGATGGAACAGGAAGACGCACGATCCAGAGTAACCTCAACTACCCCTTCAGCCTCGTTGGCTACGCCGATCACTTCTACCACACGGACTGGAGAAGGTGGGTTCCCTTCGAAGTGTGTCTTTTTTAGATGTCCGCCCAGCTTGGAGCGGCTGCAGGGTGTGAGTGGATGTCGATTCAGTGTGAGGACACTGTGATCGGTTCGGATGTGCGACACTCAGGTGAATTATCTCATTGATATTCACGCCCTTGGAAAAGAGACTCTACGTCAGGGGTCCTCAACGTGGGCACCGTGGCGCTTGCCAACACCTTTCCTGGCATCCACCAAGTGCTTTTAGAAAGTGGGAGGGGCTAGGTGGTTGTTTGCAAAGCGGGGCCTCCGATTGGCCGTGCAGATTAAACGGCATCTTGTTAAACTGAGCTTCAGCTTGCAGTGCTGACGAGTAGGGATGGGCATGAACCGCATTTTTGTGATTCGGTTTGCGGTTTCTGGCTGCACCACGAACTGAACTGGTTCATATGGGGTTGTGAACCCTGCTTTCTGCTCTGTCGCTGTTCGCGAGGAGCAGCAGGCCGTGGTTTAAATAACTCCGAGCTGTTTAAACCAAACATCTGGGCTGTTTTTCCCGAAGAGCAGAAAGCAGGGGTTTTAATGGCTCAGAGCCATTAAACCCATGCTTTCTGCTCTTTACCAACCACGATGAACTGTACCAAACTCGAGAAAGGTCACGGCCGTTCAGTTTGCGAACCACGGACCAGCCAAAATTCGTGACGAACTTTAGTTCGTGAGCTGGTTCGTGCCCATCCCTACTGAAGAGTTATGTTTAAAGTTATATATAACCTTGCTCCCTGTCATTTTTTGATTGGTTCCACCTCCTGTGCCAGGTATTTTGTGGTCATGTCCACCGGTCCCTGTGTCAGAATTCCAAAGGTGTGTGCAGGTTCAAAGAGGCTATGGGGACCCCTGCTTGACATTTGTGGGTTTTCAGTGTTTATTTTGCCTGAGGAAAACTCTTAATACATCATAGTGTTTTTGCAGAAATCCCCTCCTCTCCTTTCCCTGCCACTCAATGTCCAAAACATGTCAGAAATATCAACGAAGCCACACATTAATTGTGGATGCTCCTGCTCTCAGCTGGATTGCAGAGCCTGAAGCGGGAAGTGATAACATTTGGGGGAGCACCCTAGGGGGCACTCCTCGGTGTGTGTGGCTCAGTGGCAGAGACTCTGCTTGGCATGCAGAAGGTCCCAGGTTCAATCCCCGGCATCTCCAGTTTAAAGGATCAGGTAGGAGGTGATGGGAAAGACCTCCGCCTGAGATCCTGGAGAGCTGTGAAGAGGGGCCGTGGCTCAGTGGCAGAGCACCTGCTTGGCATGCAAAAGGTCCCAGGTTCAATCCCCGGCATCTCCAGTTTAAAGGAACAGGTAGGAGGTGATGGGAAAGACCTCCGCTTGGGACCCTGGAGAGCTCTACGCCTCTGCTTGGCATGCAGAAGGTCCCAGGTTCAATCCCCGGCATCTCCAGTTTAAAGGAACAGGTAGGAGGTGATGGGAAAGACCTCCGCCTGAGACACTGGAGAGCTCTGAAGAGGGGCCGTGGCTCAGTGGCAGAGCACCTGCTTGGCATGCAGAAGGTCCCAGGTTCAATCCCCGGAATCTCCAGTTTAAAGGATCAAGTAGGAGGTGATGTGAAAGACCTCAGCTTGGGACCCTGGAGAGCTCTACGCCTCTGCTTGGCATGCAGAAGGTCCCAGGTTCAATACCCGGCATCTCCAGTTTAAAGGATCAGGTAGGAGGTAATGGGAAAGACCTCCGCTTGAGACCCTGGAGAGCGGCTGCCAGTCTGAGTAGACAACCCTGAGTATGATGGGCCGATGCATTATGCAGGGGGGTGGACTAGATGACCCCGGAGGTCCCTTCCATCTGTATGATTCTAATGGGTCTTGTCCAGTGTAAGGCAGCTTCATGTGTTCATCTGAAATACTCTGCTGTACCTGCCTTGAAAAATGATATCTTCCAGTGTTTAGAGAGCCCTGCCAGTTGGGTGGAAGAGATCAAAGGATGACCGTTCCGACAGATTATTTCGGAGAGTAGCCGTGTCGGTCTGTAGTAGAGCACTTAGGTCTGAGTCCAGTACCCCCTTAGAGAGCAACAAGATTTCCCGGTTTGCAAAGCAGGAGACGTTCAGAGGGTGGTTGGCGGTTGCCTGCCTCTGCGTAGCAACCCTGGACTTCCTTGGGGGGGGTCTCCCCTCCAAGCACTAACACGAGCTGACCCTGCATTGCTTCCAGAATTGGACTAGCCAGGGCCATGAGGGCAGAAGACACAGAGAGGTGGTTTGCCATCACCTGCCCCTGCGTAGCGGCCCGGAGTTCCTTGGCGGTCTCCCATCCAAGTAGGAACCAGGGCTGATCCTCCTTAGCTTCTGATATGTGACGAGACCAGGCTAGCCCGGGCTGTCCGCGTCAGGGCCTCCAAGATGCTTATACATCCTGGACCTTCTACAGTTCCTGCAAGACGGAGCTCTTCCGCCTGTAAGACGGAGCTCTTCCGCCAGGCCCTTGAGTAGGAGCCGCCCCCCCACTATTCCATCACCGTCATGGTTCCGTATTGGATTTACTGACGAGGCCCCGAGGAAGAACCTGGTGTCAAATGGTAAGGCTGGCCTAGATGGGTTCGATCTAGTGTCAGAGTAAAGGGACAGCTAGAGGTAGCATGTGACTGCAAGGAGGCTGGCCATAACTGGTTTGAGGCAGTCCAGCCTGGCACTGAATGCATTGCAGGAGGATTGCATCAGCTGTGTGCTGATTGGCCAGACGTTGTATAAATGTACAGAGTGTACAGTGGATTTTTTTCCTTCTCATGAATCATTTGCAGCGGAGCACTCTGACACTCAGAACTGTAAATAGGTGGTGGCTGGGTGTGAATAAATTCACTGTGGTTGCACCTAAGCTCTGGACTCCAGTCTTCTGTGGGTACTCTATCTCCCTTTGGGCACTGACGTGCCAGCCAGCATTCCGCGCACCGTGACACCTGGACCACCTTAAGAAGATCTAACACGCCGTCTCCACTGGGTATAAACACCATGGGAGTATCACCTGGAGCGGTGCTGTCTCCATCCTGGACTCATGAGTTCAGTCATTGACTGAGCCCCATTGTTGTAATGTGAATGTTTATATGATGTTTTATATGTTTTAATTACGGCACGGTCCCTATCCTGCCCTTGTTAGCCGCCCAGAGCCCACTGGGTTCACGGCAGGAGAAAACAGCTTTGCGTGTCTTTTCCGCACAGGGACGGCGTCATAGCGGTGAATAAAGACAACGGTGCTTTTACGGGTGAATACCTTCCGGAACAGCGGACGCACCTCTACGGGATAACGGCAGTCCACCCGTACTGCCCTGGAGGTAAAACGGGGGGTCACCCAAAAGAAGGGAGGTGGGAGGCACCTTTCGTGAACACTCCCACCGCCCAACCCCTTTTGCCGATTCGTCTCGGGGATGATGCAAAGCCACTTGTGCTTCTCTGGGTATTGCAGAGACCAACAGAAAACAACTGGAAGAACATAAGAACATAAGAGCTGCCAATGTTGGATCAGGCCAAAGGCCCATCCAGGCCAACACTCTGTGTCACACAGTGGCCAGAAATACCAGTGCCATCAGGAGGTCCAGCAGTGGGGCCAGGACACTAGAAGCCCTCCCACTGTTGACCCCCCCCCCCCAAGCACCAAGAAGACAGAGCATCACTTGCCCCAGAGCCCCTAGCTATACCTTGTGGCTAATAGCCACTGATGGACCTCTGCTCCATATGCTTATCTAATTCCCTTTTGAAGCCGTCCATGCTTGTAGCCGCCACCACTTCCTGTGGCAGTGAATTCCATGTGTTAATCACTCTTTGGGTGAAGAAGTACGTCCTCTTATCCGTTCTAACCCGACCGCTCAGCAATTTCATGGAGTGCCCACGAGTTCTTGTATTGTGAGAAAGGGAGAAAAGTACCTCTTTCTCTACCTGCTCTTTCCCATGCATAAGCTTATAAACCTCAATCATGTCACCCCTCAGCCGTCGTTTCTCCAAGCTAAAGAGCCCCAAGCGCCTTAACCTTTCCTCATAGGGAAAGTGTTCCAACCCTTTTATCATTCGAGTTGCCCTTTTCTGCACTGTGAGCTGAATTACCCGCAAAATATATGTAGAAAAGGAGACTTCAACAAAGTGAAATGCACATGCAGTCAAGAATGAATCTATACATATAATCCATCATAGGAAAATACGGAAGCCCACAGTATCCATGAGAGGAAAATACAAAGTCCAGAGCAGATATCCAACACTTTTCCTAGGTCGTATTCAGTGTTTCAGACTTCTCATTCCATCTCCTTATAAGACAATAGTGTTCAATTTCTTTATGGGCAAGGTCGCCTAAGCTTTAGTGAGCACCTCTCAAGGCTGCTTCTAATGTAACAGGACCAAACACGGGAGGCATTTCCTAGAAGGAAATGGAATGAGACTTCCTAAAGTTGTTCTTTGTTCCTGAGGACTAGAAGTCTGAAACACTGAATACGACCTAGGAAAAGTGTTGGATATCTACTCTGGACTTCGTATTTTCCTTTCGTGGATCCTGTGGACTTCCGTATTTTCCGATGATGGGTTATATGTATAGATTCATTCTTGATTACTTTGTTGAAGTCTCCTTTTGTATATATTTTTGTGGGTAATTCCGCTCACAGTTGTTTTCTGTTGGTCTTTGCTATTTCTTCTTTGGGTATTGCCCAGGCACCTAGTCAAACAAACTACGGAAGCTCTCTGGGGTGACAAGACCGGGCGGCTGGAGTAGGCCCTCTGTCCTCTGTCCCAGATGTTATGTATTCCGCTTTCAGATCTGGGGGTGGGGTGGGTATCATCTTTTTAAGGGCCTGCAGTGGCTCAAGTGGTGAAGACGCTGAGCGGCAGACTGGAAGGTTGGTAGTTCAGGAGTTTGAGTCCCGAGTGCCACATGACGGAGTGAGCTCCCGTCTCTGGTCCCAGCTCCTGCCAGCCTAGCTGTTCGAAAGCAAGACATTGCAAGTAAATAAGGACCACTTCGGTGGGAAGCGAACAGCATTCCGTGCGCCACGCTGGCCACGACCACGGAAATGTCTTCGGACAGCGCCGGCTCTTCAGCTTGGAAACAGAGATGAGCACCACCCCCTAGTGTCGCCTTTACCGTAGTTACCATCTTCTTTTTTGCCTGCCATTGCTGTTGAGACCAGGGCCTGTTACAGGTTAGGTGGGTGGTGGTTAGAGCGTGCCCTGGCTTTGCCCCCCTTTCTCCATCTGCCGCCGCCTCCCACTTGCACCCTTCCCACCTGCGTGCCCCTCCCCACTGCCCACCATGACGCATCTGCCCCTCATTTGCCAACATCTTCCGGACTCGCATGCCCTTCCCAAGGCAATACTGGGCACTGAACAGGAGTGGTAGCAGAGACGCCGAGGCCTTCATGAGAACAGAAGAGCCCTGCTGGATCACACCAGTGAGGGTCCATCTAGTCCAGCATCCTGTCTCACACAGTGGCCCCAACCAGTTCCTCTGGAGGGCCCACAACACGGCACAGAGGCCGAGGCCTTCATAAGAATATCAGAAGAGCCCTGCTGGATCAGGCCAGTGAAGGTCCATCTAGTCCAGCCTCCTGTCTCACACAGTGGCCGACCAGTTCCTCTGGAGGGCCAACAACAGGGCAGAGAGGCCGAGGCCTTCATAAGAACATAGGAAGAGCCCTGCTGGATCAGGCCAGTGAAGGTCCATCTAGTCCAGCATCCTGTCTCACACAGTGGCCAACCAGTTCCTCTGCAGGCCCAACAACAGGGCAGAGAGGCTGCGGCCTTTATAAGAACATAGGAAGAGCCCTGCTGGAGCAGACCAGCGGTCCATCTAGTCCAGCATCCTGTCTCACACAGCAGCCAGCCAGTTCCTCTGGAGGGCTAACTGCAGGGCACAGAGGCTGAGACCTTCCCCTGATGTTGCCTCCTGGCTCTGAGATTCAGAGGATTAGTGCCTCTGAATGTGGAGGTTCCATGAAGACACCATAGCTAGCAGCCATTGACAGACCTATCCATGAATTTGTCTAATCCCCATTGAAAGCTGTTTATTCCTGAGGCCATCACGACCTCTGGCAGCAAATACCATATTTTAATCCCTGGCTGCGTAAAGCAGTATTTCCTTTTGTCTGTCCTGAACCTACTGCCCACCGGCTTCACGGGATGGCGATGCTGATACCAGTTTCTCTCTTGTTGCAGGAAGGAAATAAGCTACCGGGGCACGGAGGGGAGACGTCCCCCTTGCGACCGGCGGAAGGAGAATCGCGCTTCCTGCTGACCTTGTACATAATGTAAAAGATCCCTCCCCTCCGCTGCAGGAGCGCCCGTGACGCGTAACGGAAGGGGACTGCACGGTTTAACTTAGAGCAAAAAAATTATCCCATTATTTTTTAAGTTATACCTCAAGATCTTTACTACTGTATTTTTTTCCTTTTTTTTACAAAACCAAAAAAACCTTTTTTATGTATTGCAGAGGAGTAATGGTGCTAGGGGGTGACGGAGCAGATTAATTCTCTCTCGCTGAGCTACTTTGTACAAAAAGAGACCATATAGACGTATCTTTACTCCATGGTTTATTTTAGTGGAAAACACAAAAAGAGACACTTATTTTAAAGTGTGTGTGTGTGTGGGGGGGAGATTTTAGCGCCACCTGGGGAGGGGGGCCTTCAGGGGGGGGGGAACTTTGTACGAACTGGGCATAGCTGTCGAGTGTTAATTGGAAAGCTCACTGCGGTTATCCTCTTTTTTTGGTGCTTCTGCCTCTGGCCTGTTTTCTTAGTATTTATATGCTAGAACGGGAGGGGCTCATGGGTCACGTCCGAACCGGCTGTATGTTTGCAAAGATACCTGAGTGTAATGGGCTCATGTTTTCGAGGATACTCCAAAAATCAAATAAACTTTTATTTTATTTTTGGTTTTAAATTTTTGTTGGCCGTTATTTAACCTTCTCTTTCACAGCAATGTCCCCACCCCACCCCACGACCTTTTTACTGGGGTGGGGGGTATTGCATCGAACAAACCGTACTCCAGAGGACCGCCGGCTAACCGCACACACACAAAAATTATACATTTTTTTAAAAGCCTGCGCACATTAATCTCAAATGGAGAATCGGCAGCCTCCGGCTAAAAGGATAACAGTGTCTCTCTCTCTTTAAACCCAAGATTTATTGATGTAACGAAAACCAGTATTTAGTGGAATTGTGGGCAGCCTCCCCCCCTCTGGTTTCCAAACATGGGAGCCATATCCATTACGAATTGCATGCTAGGTTCAGGGGGGGTCCTCCCACCCACACGGCTGAGAACATGACAACAGGAAGCCTTCTGGGGGTTCATCTCCCCACTTTGCCCAGTCTGTGGTCAGTTTTTGGATCGGCGATAATCGCCTGCACGGCGACGATGGCTTCGTTGATCTTCGTCTGCAGCTCGCGGAGCTCTTCTATGTGCAGGAGCCGGAGGATCTGAGCGGCTTCGTTGAGAACGGCGTCTGGAGGGGACCAAAGAGAGGGGGGGGGGGGAGACATCCAGGGCTCGTATTTTAATCCAGAATTCCCTCTGCGTGACGGGCCTAAGAATTTGGTTCGGTGGAAGTACGAGGCGGTTAGGAGATCTATTAGGGAGCAGTTAAACAAACCTGGGCCCAGGCCGCAAAAGGAAGGAGGGGATGGGGAAGCGATGCTCAGAGGGGACGGGATCTTTACTGGAGGGCAACTGGGGGAAATCTGCAGCTTTTTATTCCCTCGGAGAAGAGCGCAATAAGGTCCCTTCAAGTCCTGTCCATAGAATCAGAAGATAGAAGAGGATTCAATTTATACCCCGCCCTTCACTCGGAGTCTCAGAGCGCCTTACGAACCCCTTTTCCCTTCCCCTCCTCACAACAGACACCCTGTGAGGTGGGTGGGGCTGAAAGAGCTCTCTCAAGAACTGCTCTTAAGAGAACAGCAGGTGCAGGTGGAGGAGTGGGGAATCAAACCTGGTTCTCCCAGATAAGAAGAAGAAGAGATTGGATTTATACGCCGCCCTTCACTACCCCAAAGGTGTCTCAGAGTGGCTTACAATCTCCTTTTCCCTTCCCCTCCCCAGAGCAGACACCCTGTGAGGTGGGTGGGGCTGAGAGAGCTCTGACAGAAACGGCTCTTTTTCAAGAACAGCTCTGACAGGACTATGGCTTGCCCAAGGTCATCCAGCCAGGCGCAAGTGGAGCATCAAACCCAGTTCTCCCAGATTAGGGTCCACACACTTAACCACGACACCAAACTGGCTGCAAGAAGTATGGTACCCGAGTCCTATGCCTGGCACCAACAAGGTCCGTAGGCGACAAACTCACAGGACACAAGAATGTAACTCCGGTCCTGGTTTACTTAGAACGAATGCAGAGTCCAGTGGCACCTTCCATCGAGACCTTGTGGCTAAGAGCCACTCAGGAACCCCTGCTCCATACAGAACAAAGTTTGAGTCCCAGCCCCAAGAAGACAGAGCATTACCACCCCAGACAGAAGAACGTAAGAGAAGCCATGTTGGATCACACGGTGGCCAAAACCCAGGGGCCATCAAGAGGACTTCAGAAGCCCTCCCCACTATCAGCCCCCCCTCAAGCACCAAGGACACAGAGCATCACTGCCCCAGACACAGTGACCCACCTACAGTAAAGGTAAAGGTTTCCCTTGCTCGAAAGCTAGTTGAATCTGACTCTAGGGGGCGGGGCTCATCTCCGTTTCCAAGCCGAAGAGCCAACGCTGTCCCCTCTAGACCTTGTGCCTAATACCCACTGATGGACCCCTGCTCCATATGTTGATCCAATCCCCTCTTGAAGCTATGCTTGTCGCCACCGCCCCCTCCTGTGGCAGTGAATTCGACATGTTAATGACTCTTTGGGTGAGGAAGGACTTCCTTTTATCTGTTCTGAGCCTACTGCTCCTTAGTTTCATGGAGTGCCCACGAGTTCTTGTATTGTGAGAAAGGGAGAAAAGGACTTCCTTCACTATCCCTGTAGCTTGAGATCTTCCATTAAGCAAGCTCCACACAACAGGAGAGAGCCCAGACACGCACATAATCCCTGAGTAAATGGTGTGGTTAAGTGCGCGGACTCTAATCTGGGAGAAACGGGTTTGGTTCCCCACTCCTCCGCTTGCACTTGGCTGGATGACCTCGGACAAGCCGTAGTTCTGATAAGAGCTGTCCTTGAAAAAGAGCACTTTCTGTCAGAGCTCTCTCAGCCCCACCAACCTCACAGGGTGTCTGTTGTGGGGAGGGGAAGGGAAAGGAGATTGTCAGCCGCTCTGAGACTCCCTTCGGTAGTGAAGGGCCGGGTATAAATCCAATCTCTTCTTCTTCTTCTTCTACCTCACAGGGTGTCTGTTGTGGGGAGGGGAAGGGAAAGGAGTTTGTAAGCCGCTCTGAGACACCTTTGGGTAGTGAAGGGTGGGGTATCAATCCAATCTCCTCCTCCTCCTCCTCCTCCTCCTCTTCTTCTAATTGCATCGCCACCTTGTATAAATTCTGCAGCCGATCTCTCAGAGGCCTTTCCCTGTGTCTGAAACACCTAGCTCCCAGGGGAATGGGGAGGCACCAGACTTTTACTTCTGCAAGTACAAAAGGAAAGCTTGAAGCCATCTGCCTGCACCCTCCCATTCTGCTTGGCTAAGTGCGGAGTCTTTTATATGTGGTGCAAGTAGCTGTCTCCTCCCTGGTTTGTGTGGAGTGGAAGGAAACGATCCTACGCCAACTCTGAAGAACTCCCATTATGAGGGCAGGGAATCGACAGCCTTCAAGGAAACAAAAACATTACGGGGGGGGGGGGGGGAGCACAGTGTCTTATATTAATTTTTGCTCCCAAAGATGCACTAGGTCTTATTTTCGGGGGATGTCTTATTTTTCCATGAAGAAGAATACGGTACACCCCGTCAGGGCAGAGCGAGCAGCAGGCGGCAGCTTGTCCTGGCGGCGGCGCGGACTGTCTGATTAAAAGAGACCTCGCACTCCCTGTCTGCTCCGGCTGTGCTGCGGCCAAGAGTGAGCTGCGTGGCGGCGCCCGCCGCTACGGCCCAGAGTCCAGAATTACGGTAGCTTCGGGGGCCTTATTATCGGGGAGGCCTTATGTTCGGGGGAGGCCTTATTATCGGGGAAGTCTTATTTTCGGGGGGATGCCTTATATTTCAGCGAGAGGCAAAACTGCAAGTAGGTCTTATTTTCGGGGGATGTCTTACTTTCAGAGAAACAGGGTAGGCCCAAATCCAGCAGCGCCTGAGACACCAACCAGACTTTTCAGGTGCTACTTCCGGGGCGCTCTTGGCCTCCTGTCTAGCTTTTTACTGCAGACCGACACAGCTGTCCTGAAATGATCTTACGGGGTTTTTTGCTTTGCTGCCGCAACTATGCACATTCGTTCTGGAGTGCACCATGGGGAAAGTGCGCCTCTTCATATTCAAGGAGAAATAAAAGGGGGTTCACCACATTGTTAAAAAAACAGGGACAATTCAAATAGGGGATTTTTCACCAAGTAGAAGGCACTGTGCAATTTCAGGAGTCAAACCCCAGTACTGCCATAAGAGAAAGGCAACCTTGGAAGGAAAGATGCGGGGACTGTGCGTGACAGACGAGAACAAAGGATCATTTACAGTGGAAGGAAACGGCCCTGGAGGCAGAAGCTTTAAAAGACCGTCTTACCTCCTGTGTCAAAGCCAAGAATGTGCTTGTCCAAGGCGACAGGCAAACCCTTAAAAAAGGTGGAAGAGAAAGAAGGAAAACGTTATTGTGAGACAACTGTTAATGCCCTTGTTGCATCTTGAATTAATATTAAATAAATAACACTGTCCAGATCGAGCCCACGTTATTCCAGCAGAAACACATCTCAACGTTAAATGCTACTTCTGGGCACTCCCAGTTTATATATTCGCCACAGAAGCAATTGGATGGGCCAGCGCCCCCCCCCCCCCAAGCAGGGAACAGAGATTTGGAGGAATTAAATACTAGGGAGATGCCAGGAAGAGAATCTCAGGGAAAAGCTTCTCTGTCCTGGCCTGACCTGGTCAGTGGGTGGAGAAAAGAGAGGTGATAAAACTCAGGGGAGCAAGGAAGGAAGCTCTTTTGTGTGCTGAGTCCATCAGAGCTGACAGAACTCTTAACTGAGATCTGGAGGAGGCGGCCATTAACCATGTGCTGGCCTGGAGAGCTGGAGAAAGTTTCAAGGGAAAGGTCACTCTGTAGAGATCTGTAACTTCCTAAGCTAAGGAGCCTGTCCTATATTTTAATATCTGATAGGAGATGTACAGAGAGAGGGACAGAGGAATTGCATTTTACTCATTTCTTTTGAGACGCCTTGCTCAAGTCGGGTGCTGTGTTAAAAGTACGCTTGTGAACATGTTTTTCTTTAATAAATACTTTTATAACTTTGGATGCTGGGAGTGGCTCTCTGTGCCACACCGACCTCCACCATCTCAGACATGCTATTGTAAAAGGGACGCCAGGGGGAAGGCAGGCGACTATTCCTCCAAGGGCGCACAAGGCAGCGAACGGTCCCCATGGCGAACTGGCGCTGGGCAGTGGGAGACAGAGAGGCCAGGCCTCAGGATTTGGAAGGGAACCTGGGAGCCCTGACCCTCCAGTGGGCAGTGCCTACAAAGGTCAGGTGGCGGCGGCAGTGCTTACCGCAGAGAGAGAAAACAGCCTTTCCAGGTGTTGGGGAAACCTTGGAGGGAGGAGTGGAACGGGGCCTGCAGGCCAGAGGCCTATTCTCCCACAACAGCCTACGAATGTAAAATGAACCCTGCTGGATCAGACCAGGGGTTCCTCTAGTCCAGTATCCTGACTCACCCAGTGGCCAACCAGTTCCTCTGCAGGCCCAACAACAGGGCATAGAGGCCAAGGCCTTCCTAAGAACATCAGAAGAGCCCTGCTGGATCAGACCAGCATCCTGTCCCACACAGTGGCCAACCAGTTCCTCTGCAGGCCCAACAACAGGGTAGAGAGGCCGAGGCCTTCATAAGAATGTAAGAAGTGCCCTGTTGGATCAGACCAGGGGTCCATCTAGTCCAGCATCCTGTCCCGCACAGGGGCCAGCCAGTTCCTCTGGAAAGCCAACAACAGGGCACAGAGGCCGAGGCCTTCATAAGAACATCAGAAGAGCCCTGCTGGATCAGGCCAGTGAAGGTCCATCTAGTCCAGCATCCTGTCTCACACAGGGGCCAGCCAGTTCCTCTGGAGGGCCAACAACATGGCAGAGAGGCTGAGGCCTTGATAAGAATGTAAGAAGTGCCCTGTTGGATCAGACCAGGGGTCCCTCTAGTCCAGCATCCTGCCTCAGACAGGGGCCAACCAGTTCCTCTGGAGGGCCAACAGCAGGGCAGAGAGGCTGAGCACTTCCCCTGATGTTGCCTCCTGGCTCTGGGATTCAGAGGCTGACTGCCTCTGAACATGGAGGTTCCCTTTAGACCCCTGGGCTACTAGCCACTGATAGACCTCTCCCTCCCCGAATCTGTCGAATCCCCTTTTAAGGCTTGCAAGGCCTTCCACTGGAACTGCACCTCCATGCAAAGTGTGCATTCTGGTCACCAAGGTATAACCCCTCTCTGTTAACATCCATGTTCCTGAAACTTGAGGACAGGTGCTTTTAAGACACGGGTCAGGGGGACATCATGAGCCGATTAACAGAAGGAACACTCATTGCCCAAGGGGGCATGTCGTAAGCAGAGTCCCACCTGAGAACTGAGAAAGCTGAGCGCGTTGTTAGCTTCGCCCATGAAAGCTCTCCCCCCCGCCCTCCAAATTCAAGCTCAGTCCTGGCTAGAAAGAGATGCTGGCCTGGGCAAAAGCACAGTCCTGTGGGACTTGACACTGGAACAGCCGCCAGTTTGTTGTGTCGTGGGTTAAGTGCGTGGGCGCTATAATCTGGGAGGACTGGGTTTGATTCCCCACTCCTCCAAATGCACCTGCTGGATGACCTTGGGCAACCAGGTGTTTGGGGAAAATTTCTGAACTGCTCCACTGTACACATCTCTGTAAGGCATCCCTGGCTGTTGGCCCTCCACAGCTCGGCTTCGCTAGAACCACAGACCGTCTTTGAAACTGTCCAACGAAACGCCCAGTCCTGTAACTTAACGCAGGAACTGCCTAAATTAAGGTGTCCTTGGGAATAATCTGTTTGGTGTCGTGGTTAGGAATGCAGACTCTAATCTGGGAGAACCGGGTTTGATTCCCCACTCCTCCACGTGCAGCTGCTGGGGTGGCCTTGGGTCAGTCACATGTTCTCTCAGAGCTGTTCTCTCAAGGGCAGTTCTTGAGAGAGCTCCCTCAGCCCCGCCTACCTCACAGGGTGCCTGTTGTGGGGAGGGGAAGGGAAAGGAGTTTGTAAGCCGCTCTGAGACTCCTTTGGGTAGTGAAGGGCAGGGTACAAATCCAATCTCCTCTTCTTCTACCTCACAGGGCGTCTGTTGTGGGGAGGGAAAGGAGTTTGTAAGCCACTCTGAGACTCCTTTGGGTAGTGAAAGGCGGGGTATAAATCCCATCTCTTCTTCTTCTTCTACCTCACAGGGTGTCTGTTGTGGGGAGGGGAAGGGAAAGGAGTTTGTCAGCCGCTCTGAGACTCCTCTGGGTAGTGAAGGGCGGGGTATGAATCCAATCTCTTCTTCTTCTTTTACCTCACAGGGTGTCTGTTGTGGGGAGGGGGAGGGAAAGGAGTTTGTCAGCCGCTCTGAGACTCCTTTGGGTAGTGATGGGTGGGGTACAAATCCAATCTCTTCTTCTTCTTCCAACTGGGCTGCTGCCCATGCAAATCATGCCACATGGCTGCTTGGCGTGGGTAACGACCCAGCTTCAATGAGGCACCATGCAGCCCCTGGGCTTTTGACTCAGTTAGCATCCCGCTTGAATTAAGCCTTCACTTGATTTTAAATCTATTCTATGACTATGAGCTTTCATGGGAAGAGAGAGATAAAACACAGCTATGTAAAATATGCTGTAGACAAGTTTCTGCTCTGCAAATGGGGGAGACTGGATTTACGCCCTGCTCTGCACTTGGGAGTCTCAGAGTGGTTTACAATCTCCTTTCCCTTCCCCTCCCCACAACAGACACCCTGTGAGCAATGTTCCCTCTAAGCTGTGGAGTCTTGTGAGCAAAAATTCTACTTTGTGAGCTACTAGCATTAAAGTTGTGAGCGAGCAATTCGGCTGTTGCATAAATTAGTTTGCTCTGGAGCCCTCCTTCCTGAGCGGAGACAAATATGTGTCAGCTGGAGGCTCAAAAACTGTGAGCTGGCTCACACTAACTCAGCTTAGAGGGAACACTGCCTGTGAGGCAGGTGGGGCTGAGAGAGCTCTTTTGAGGACTACCCTTGAGAGAACAGCTCTGAGAGAACTTGGGACTGACCCAAGGCCACCCAGATGGCTGCACGTGGAGGAGTGGGGAATCAAACCTGGTTCTCCAGATTAGAAGAAAAAGAGGAGATTGGATTTATACCCCGCCCTTTACTACCCAAAGGAGTCTCAGAGCGGCTTACAAGCTCCTTTCCCTTCCCCTCCCCACAACAAACATCGTGAGGTAAAAGAAGAAGAAGAGATTGGATTTATACCCCACCCTTCACTACCCAAAGGAGTCTCAGAGGAGCTTACAAACTCCTTTCCCTTATCCTCCCCACAACAGACACCCTGTGAGGCAGGTGGGGCTGAGAGAGCTCTGACAGGAACTGCTCTTTTTCAAGGACAGCTCTGACAGAACTACATCTTGCCCAGCTGCATGTGGAGGAGTGGGGAGTCGGACCCGATTCTCACAGATTAGAGTCTGCTTTCCTAACCACGACACCAAACAGATTATTCTCAAGGGCACCTTAACTTAGGCAGTTCTTGCATTTCGTTACAGGACTGGGGGTTTTTTTGGACAGTTTCAAAGACGGTCTGTGGTTTGAGTGAAGCTGAGCTGTGGAGGGCCGACAGCCAGAGATGCCTTACAGAGAAACTCTTGCGTACAGCGGAGCAGTTCAGACATTTTCCCCAAACGCACGATACTAAAAGAACCTCTGTTAGGCTCCCGCTCTGGGGGGGAAGCGGCTTTTCATTCAAGCAACTGACTGGCGTCGCCGTTACTTCTGAAATATGATCCTTTCTCCAATACCCCCATTTGAAAAAGAAGAAACAACGGTTCCCCAGTGTTCTTCATGCAGAGAGAGTCCCGTTCACAATCACTTCATTCAAACATCTGAAGCATATTTAAGAAGGCCCCGGGGCAAAGGCCCAGTTTCCGGCGAACAATCCACAGGCAGCCCAGCGACTTACCTCTTTCGACTGACTCGCCTTGGCGACGGCGTCCTGCGTCAGGCGCTCTTGGACCAAGATGCGAATTGCCTTGGGAAGGAAAAGAAGGTCCAGGTGAAGCCTCGAACCCGTGACCCTTTTAACACGCAGTGGGGTGAACCATTCTTTATACATCAGAGGCCTTCCCCTGATGTTGCCTCCTTGCTCTGGGATTCAGAGGCTTAGTGCCTCTGAATGTGGAGGTTCCCTTTAGTCACTGTGGGTAGTAGCCAATGTTCCCTCTAAGCTGTGGAGCCTTAGGAGCAAAAATTCTACTTTGTGAGCTACTGGCATTAAAGTTGTGAGCAAACTATTTGGCTACTGCATAAATTAGTTTGCTCTGGAGCCCCATCCTGCCTGAGCTAAGACAAAAATCAACGAGCTGGAGGCTAAAAAACTGTGAGCCAGCTCACAGTAACTCAGCTTAGAAGGAACACTGGTAGTAGCCACTGGTGGATTTCTCCCCTGTGAATCAGCCTAATCCTTTTTTAAAGCCATCTATGCCTGGGGACACCTCGACATCCTCTAGCAGTGAATTCTTAATCGCTCACTGGGTAAAGAAGTTATTTCCTCTTTTTGCCAAACTTTCCCAAAATCTGCCCTTCTACTCGAAGGCTTTTATAAACCAAATAGTTCACAGCACCGTCTCCGGCACCGCCTCCTCGGTCAAACTGACGGGACGGCAGGTGGAGGAGCACATCCTGGACACCTTTCGCGTTCTAAATAAACCATAAAAGAGGAATAACCATATGGCAAGCAGTGTTCCCTCTAAGCCGAGTTAGTGTGAGCTGGCTCGCAGGTTTTTTAGCCTCCGGCTCACACACGTTTTTGTCTTAGCACAGGAAGGAGGGCTCCAGAGCAAACGAATTTATGCAGGAGCCAAATCGCTCGCTCACAACTTTAAGGCCAGGAGCTCACAAAGTAGGCTTTTGGCTCACAAGACTACACAGCTTAGAGAGAGTGTTGATAACAAGGCAGGCGTTTCTATAGATGGGCAGACCACGCCTGGGAATATTTTGGGAAAAGGCCATTTTCACTCACAGCAGCAAAATGGACAATAACAGTACCCTTTCCCCCGAACTTTCAAGCCCCTGAAATAAAGTTCAACGGATGGCTAGCGTGACTAAAAACTTTTTATTGCTTGATTTAATAAAACTTATCCTGCCTGTCCTTATGGTTCAAGGCAGTCTTCCGGGTGTTAGAAATGGAGGACTTGGTGCTGTCTCCTGTCTCAGACTTGAGAGAGGGCACCAAAGAGTTTAGAAAGAGAGTTCACGACCAGTGTTCCCTCTAAGCCGAGTTGGTGTGAGCTAGCTCACAGGTTTTTAGCGTCCAGCTTACACTTTTTTGTCCTAGCTCAGGAAGGGTGGCTCTGGAGCAAACTAATTTATGTGGCAGCCAAATCGCTGGCTCACAGCTTTGATGCCAGGAGCTCACAAAGCAGAATTTTTGATCACAAGACTCCACAGCTTAGAGGGAGCATTGGTCAGGACACACTGAGCATCCTTTCCTTCCTGCTATCTGATCCTTTCTTTTGAAGAAGAAAACAACTCTTAGGGGCAATTTCCTGTTTCCGCTCTCTCACCCTTCTCTCTCGCACACACAGAGAGAAGGCGCATGATCTCTGCATCTTGCACCATGGAGGCTGGACATGCACCCAACATCCAACACCATCTATTTTTTTTTTTAATAAATTTTATTAACATTTTGTGTACAAATCAACATATCCAATAGGAAGGTCAAGATACAAACAAAGCTGTTCCCAACCATAACTAACAATGTTACAGAACTGAGTAGTCATTATACAGTGTTTACATCAGTTATACACCATCTACTTAGTTAGAGTTGGTAATAAGAACATGAGAGAAGCCAATGTTGCATCAGGCCAATGGCCCATCCAGTCCAACACTCTGTCACACAGTGGCCAAAAATACCAGGGGCCATCAGGAGGTCCAGCAGTGGGGCCGGGACATTAGGAGCCCTCCCACTGTTAACCCCCCCCCAAGCACCAAGGATACAGAGCATCACCTGCCCCAGACTGAGAGTTCCTATCTAGACTTCGTGACTAATAGCCACTGATGGACCTCTGCTCCATATGCTTATCTAATTCCCTCTCGAAGCTGTCCATGCTTGTAGCCGCCACCACCTCCTGTGGCAGTGAATTCCATGTGTTAATCACTCTTTGGGTGAAGAAGGACTTCCTTCTATCCATTCCAACCCGACCGCTCAGCAATTTCATGGAGTGCCCACGAGTTCTTGCATTGTGAGAAAGGGAGAAAAGTACCTCTTTCTCTACCTGCTCTATCCGACTCATAATCTTATAAAGTTCGATCATGTCACCCCTCAGCCATTGTTTCTCCAAGCTAAAGAGCCCCAAGCGCTTTAGCCTTTCTTCAATGGGAAAGTGTTCCAACCCATTTAGAAGAAGAAGAAGAGACTGGATTTATACCCCGCCCTTCACTACCCGGAGTCTCAGAGCGGCTTACAAACTCCTTTCGCTTCCCCTCCCCACAACAGACACCCTTTGGGGTCAGTGGGGCTGAGAGAGCTCTGACAGAAACTGCTCTTTTTTCAAGAACAGCTCTTATCAGAACTATGCAAACCAAGGAGAGAGATCATGGGAAGGAAGTAGAAAAGGAAACAAACAACCGTGATATATTGTGCCACAAAAGTTTCCAAAAACTAGAAATTTCTTTTTCCAATATCCAGTTTACTGGATGCAATTCAAACGCCATCAACACCAACCGATCAGGCAGATCATCTCGTTTCGTGTGCAACTTTGTCAAAGTGAATAGCGTTGATATACAAGATCAATCCATTGAACAAACTCACTGGTAGTATTTCCTAGTGACTCCTCAAAATCCATCCGTTTGAATTGCATCCAGTAAACTGGATATTGGAAAAAGAAATGTCTAGTTTTTGGAGACTTTTGTGGCATTATATATCACGGCTGTTTGTTTCCTTTTCTACTTATCAGAACTACGGCTCGCCCAAGGTCATCCAGCCAGGTGCAAGTGGAAGAGTGGGGAATCAAACCCGGCTCTCCCAGATTGGAGTCCGCGCACTCAACCACGACACCAGACTGTGTATCTATGTCTATCTCTTACCTGCATTCTCCAGCATGTTATTCCCTTCAATAAAAGTTGCTTATTCGTTTTAGAACGGATTGCTTACTCTGTGTGACTTTGTACGTCTGCTGCCACACCAAGCCCCAGCTCTGCTGCGTTCAAGCCTTGGGCGCTATGCTACTTTTCTTGTGGTTCCCGGGCAGTACCAAGTCCAGAGAATCCAACACCGGGGGGGGAGAGGGGAAATGGAGAAGTACCTATAGCTTTAGATGAGACATGTATTCTAACCACTGGCAGTGGTTAGAGCCACCCGCTGTTCAACTCACCTTGAGCATCACCAAGTAGTCGTCGTGGCGCTGGATCTGGAGGAGGTTCGCCAGAGCCATCACGCCGGCTTTGAAGTCGGGATTATTCACTGCAAAAGACACACACTGGTCAGTTCCAAAGACTTCCTCCCAATCATACTCTTTTCAGAGCCAGAAAAGGGCTGCCCCTCCACTCACCGGCTAGGTTTGTTTTCAAAAATTAATATTTTATTGATTTTTTCACAAAGTATAATCAAGTAACCTTATCATTTGACATTAAATACAGAACATCGAACATAAACAGTATGTTAACTTATCGTGTAAAGGTGTAAAACATGTACAAAGATTCAACATCGTGAACTATGTGCAATAGAAATCAGAGTAACCAAACATCAATCTTGTGAGTATGTAATAACTTGGTGTTTCAGAGTTACATAAGAACATAAGAGACGCCAATGTTGGATCAGGCCAAAGGCCCATCCAGTCCAACACCCTGTGTCACACAGTGGCCAGAAATACCCGGTGCCACCAGGAGGTCCACCAGTGGGGCCAGGGCATTAGAAGCCCTCCCACTGTTGACCCCCCCCCCAGCACCAAGAAGACAGAGCATCACTTGCCCCAGAGTTCCTATCTATACCTTGTGGCTAATAGCTACTGATGGACCTCTGCTCCATATCTTTATCCAGTTCCCTCTTGAAGCCATCTATGCTTGTAGCCGCCACCACCTCCTGTGGCAGTGAATTCCATGTGTTAATCACTCTTTGGGTGAAGAAGGACTTCCTTTTATCTGTTCTAACCCGACTGCTCAGCAATTTCATGGAGTGCCCACGAGTTCTTATATTGTGAGAAAGGGAGAAAAGTACCTCTTGCCCTACCTGCTCTATCCCATGCATAATCTTATAAACCTCGATCAAGTCACCCCTCAGCTGTCGTTTCTCCAAGCTAAAGAGCCCTAAGCACTTTAACCTTTCTTCAAAGGGAAAGAATTCCGTGTATCTTAGAGAGACATCCTAGCCAGAACTTGTGGATGGCCAGGCTAATCTTTGTTATAGCCCTAATGTGTAGATGAAACCTATAGAGAAGCTCAGTATTTACAACCATTCATGATACTGAGACCAAAATGTGGGAACAAATTCTTCTTTAGTGAGGAAGTCCAGAAAGGGATTCCACTTTTCCATGAATTGAGTGGAGATCGGCCGAAGAGTGGCCTTGTTCAGTTTGCAGGTGACACACTCCATCAAGAATCGATCCCATAACTTCTTGTACCAAATCAGTGATCCAGGTGGCTTTGTGTCCTTCCAACACGTAGCGATGGAGGTCCTGGCAGTGTAGACCATCACATCCAAGGTATTTTTGTGTGCATAATTTTCTATATTTGGTGGCAAGTAGTCTAAAAAAAAAAAAAGGAGCTGCGGTGGCTCAAGTGGTTAAGATGCTGAACTGCAGGCTGTGGAAGGTCAGTAGTTCAGCAGTTCGAGACCCAAGTGTGCCGCATGAGGGAGTGAGCTCCCGTCTCTAGTTCCAGCTCCTGCCAACCTAGCAGTTCGACAGGAAGAAGTTGCAAGTAGATAAATAGGTACCACTTCGGTGGGAAGGTCACAGCGTTCCATGCGCCTTGGTGTTTAGTCACGCCGGCCGCATGACCACGGAAACGTCTTCAGACAGCGCTGGCTCTTCGGCTTGGAAGCGGAAATGAGCACCGCAACCCTAGAGTCAGATTCGACTGGCTTTCGAGCAAGGGAAAACAAGTTGACCTACCCTTCTCTATGAAGAAAGTATTGTTTGTATTTCCTCTGTAAGATTTCTATACCTGGCTGTTGGGTTTACTGTGTGTTTAAGATCTAACCGGACTTTTTAAACTTGTTACCAATAGATGGCACTATAAATCTACAGTGAACTACCAATACAGCTGTATTAATCTATATCACAATAGGTCTATAGTGCTTCCAGTCAAGAAGCTTGTTCAGAAATAAAATGGTGAATAAGACCTTTAGTTCTGTCTTTCCTTTTATAAAATCTCTTGGGCTTGTGTCCCTCTACTTCAACACTTGTTGCTAAGATAATATTATTGGAACTCTGAACAGCGAACTACTTTACTGTGAATTGATTAGCTTTAAAATGTTCCAATGCTAAATTTGATTCAGAATGTGAAATAATCAGTGTAGTACAATTAATCAAAGCAGTATATAAACAGTCTGTGAGGTGCAAACAATTAATTAAACTTGACCTCATTCAATTAATTACAAATAATTAATTAATTAATAATTACAATTAATTACAATTAATTAATAAGCTTGGAGAAAAGACGACTGAGGGGTGGCATGATTGAGGTTTATAGGATTATGCATGGGATAAAGCAGGTAGAGAAAGAGGTACTTTTCTCCCTTTCTCACAAGACAAGAACTCGTGGGCACTCCATGAAATTGCTGAGCGGTCGGGTTAGAACGGATAAGAGGAAGTCCTCCTTCACCCAAAGAGTGATTAACACTTGGAATTCACTGCCACAGGAAGTGGTGGCGGCTACAAGCATGGGTGGCTTCAAAAGGGAATTAGATAAGCATATGGAGCAGAGGTCCATCAGTGGCTATTAGCCACAAGGTATAGATAGGGGCACTGGGGCAAGTGATGCTCTGTCTTTTTGGTGCCGGGGGGGGGGTCAACAGTGGGAGGGCTTCTAGTGTCCTGGCCCCACTGCTGGACCTCCTGATGGCACCCTGGTATTTTTGGCCAGTGATACAGAGTGTTGGACTGGATGGGCCTTTGGCCTGATCCAACATTGGCGTCTCTTATGTTCTTATGATTTCAACCCCAATCAATGAATTACAAATAATTAATTAATTACAACCCCAGTCAATTACGTACAATTAATTAATTGTAGCCCCAATCAACGAGATGTCACTCACCGTCTAGGTTGATCAGGGGTTCTGCATTTTTGGCCGCGTTGTCCTCGTTCTTGGCGCCCTCGGGCGCGGCATCCTTATATTTGTCAGCTGTGGAAACAAAAGACGTTGCGTCCCATGAATGACTGCAGGTCTGAGAATGAGGAAGAGAGCAAACAAAGGAAGCCCAAAAGGGAACAGGCACCCATGGTGGGCGAGGCGGGCGACGGAAGGCCGATGCCTCCGTCAGCCGGGCGAGATTGGGGGGTGGGGGCGAAGCAGGCGATGGAAAGCCGATGCCTCCGTCGGGAGGGGGAAACGGGCCCTGCGGCCGGAGACCTCTGCCAGTGGTCGGCGGCCCTGGGTTGGGGGGGGGGGGGGGGGGGATTTGTTCTCAGAAAAGTACAACTGATTTGTCGACGTTTCAAGGAGACAAAGGCCCAGATGCACGCATGGCACAGACCCAGGTCTTGAGCATTTGTCTTTGGCCTTTCCTCCCGGGAGTTTGGGGCAGCACACCCCTCTGTGGAATATTTCCTGAAGGGCACAGGGAGAAGGGCAGCGGCGGCCAATGGGGAGAAGAGACCTAATCCCTTCCCACTCCCCACTTTCTCCTAAAACCTCCTTCCTCTACTTGCTTTTCTCCTTGATGGAGGGAACACATCTCCCCCCCCCCCCCCCCCGCTGCGGCTCAGTGGCAGAGCCTCTGCTTGGCAGGCAGAAGGTCCCAGGTTCAATCCCCGGCATCTCCAGTTCAGAGGACCAGGCAGGAGGTGATGGGAAAGGCCTCTGCTTTCTGCCTGGGACCCAAGAGGAGCAGCCTGCCTGAGTACACAAGACTGACTCTGATGGACCAAAGGTCTGATTCAATAGAAGGCAGTTTCATATATGTTTGGGGGAACGGCTGTGGCTCAGTGGCAGAACCTCTGCTTGGCATGCGGAAGGTCCCAGGTTCAATCCCCGGCATCTCCAGCTAAAAGGACCAGGCGGCAGGTGATGGGAAAGACCTCAGCCCTGAGACCTCGGAGAGCTGTAAAGAGGGGCCGTGGCTCAGTGGCAGAGCATCTGCCTGGCATGCAGAAGGTCCCACGTTCAATCCCCGGCATCTCCAGTTAAAAGGACCAGGCAGGAGGTGATGGGAAAGACCTCCACCTGAGTCCCTGGAGAGCTGTAAAGAGGGGCCGTGGCTCAGTGGTAGAGCATCGGCATGCGGAAGAAAAAGAAGAGATTGGATTTATAACCTGCCCTTCACTATCCGAGGTAGTCTCAGAGCGGCTGACAACGTCCTTTCCCTTCCCCTCCCCCAACAGACACCCTGTCAGGCAGGTGGGGCTGAGAGAGCTCTTTCGAGAACTGCTCTTTTTCAAGGACAGCTGTTATCAGAGCTACGGCTTGCCCAAGGTCATCCAGCCAGGTGCAAGCGGAGGAGTGGGGAATCAAACCCGGTCCTCCCAATTAAGACATACATATTTTTTAGAAATGATTTGGAAAATATTTGACCACCTTGTCTTAAAACACTTTATTCATCATGTTAGAATAAAACGTTCCATAATCTCTTTTCTTTTTTCAATTTTTCGGGAAAAAACAAAAAAGGCTTCAGGAAAAAAATGGGAAAAAATGGTTTTCCCCCAGGCCTTCACATCTCTATCACTGATGCACGCTTCTCAGTTTCAGGAAAGTGTAATTCCTACTTGATTTTAAGACAATTATTCACACAAATTCCTCTCCACTAGTTTCTCTATTGCCTTAAGACTACACACAAAAGGAGCACTCTCTAAGTATCGTACAAACGAAAGCCACAAATTGTCAGTTAACCGCATTCATCCATGCACCCTTCATGGTTTCTCTCTGGCTCAGGTCCAAGGAAGTCCACTTCCTTCCTGAGATCAGAGAGAATCACTAACAGAAATCGCTCTCCCGCCTTCCAAACAAAGAGACTGCGAAAGACAAAGCGTACCGTTGTCGCCGTACTCGAGCCTCACAGCCAATCCCAGCAGCCAATCAATCACTTCTTGCCGCTCTTGTACGGAGAAGGGGCAATTCACATCTTTCAGGTACTGGGGGGGGGGAGAAGAGATGAAAATAAGAACTTTATTGGTTAACAGTAAACGAGAAGTCAGTGAACACTCAACAGTAAACACGTTAATAAAAGTTGCATTTTTGGAAATGGGTGCACTGTATAATGGAAAAAATAGTAAGATGTAACATTCCCTTTACTCCAGAATTGTTATTGTTAAATATTTTTCCGAAAGAATTTGAGGAAACGGATAGATACCCGATTGTATACATGTCAACGGCGGCAAGGATATTGTATGCCAAATACTGGAAGACTCAAGAAACACCAACTAAACAGAATATATTAATAAACTTTTAGAAGCGGCGGAAATAGATAAACTAACCATGGAAATGAGAGGTACGAAGAAATTGACATTTCAGAAAACCTGGAAGAGACTATATGATTGGTATAATGTGAATGGAGTTAAAGATTAAGCTGATATGGCAGAAATAATATTTGAGGATGTAGTAATATATAATCACGGAGTTAGAGAATACTAACAGATATTAGAGAATAACGAAGCGATGGATTAGGTGTAGTAACAAACTGTAATAAGTCTTTTGGTTTATATGTTGTTTGTTGTAGTTGTTTATGTCTGTGTTTAGGAATATAAGAAAACAATAAAAGTGTACCTTCGGGTACTTTAAAAAAATAAAAATAAAAGTTGCAGGGTTTTTCTTTATCGTAGGACAACAGGTTTACCAAGAACTGGCATTTCATTAGGGAAGCAGCAAGTACAAAAACCCCATAAAGGAGATGAGCTTTGGTGATTTCGCGATTAAGCAGACCCAGGATTTCTCATTTCTTAAAAGACTTCAGCAACAGATGGAAGAGGGTATCTGAAGTCAGCCAATCACTCAATCATAGAGTTGGAAGGGACCTCCGGGGTCATCTAGTCCAACCCCCTGCACAAGGCAGGAGATTCACAAATAACCTCCCTGCTCCATCTCCAAGAAGATGGCAAAAAACCCTCCAGGATCTTCAACAAAACTGGCCTGGAGAAAAAAATGGAATCCTGACCCCAAGTGGCAATCAACATTTCCCTGGGCATGTAATAAAGGGCCACAAGAACTAAGTGCACTGAGGCCACCCTGCGACCTGAATTCATAGAATCAGCCTTGTTGAAATCCCAAGAAGTTCCCACTTCAAGCATAGGTTAATGGGGTCTGAACTTGCTGGGGAAAAGATCTCGGGGTCGGAGTGGAGAGCTACACGGGAGTGTCAAGCCAGTGTGCCGCAGCAGTGGGAAAAGGCAAACTCTCTGTTTGGGGATTACAAGGGGAGACCCGCAAGAGACTCGCGGGGAGGGGGGCATTTCCCCCACCTTTGCTCCCCCCCTTCTCGGTCAAAGTTCCCTCCTGTCTTTCTGCACCCACCCCTTATCTTCTGCACCCACTCTTCCCTCACCTCCCCCTCTCACCCCTTGCATGCTAGCTTTCCTCCCTATCCCTTTCTCTAGGAATTCTTTCTCACCCCCTTTCTCCATTCACGTGTCTTACCCCTCTCTTACCCCAGCCCTTCTCAGACAAGAGACAGTCTGGTGTCGTGGTTAAGTGCGCGGACTCTGATCTGGGAGAGCCGGGTTTGATTCCCCCACTCCTCCACTTGCACCCGGCTGGATGACCTCGGGCAAGCCATAGCTCTGATAAGAGCTGTTCTTGAAAAAGAGCCGTTTCTGTCAGAGCTCTCTCAGCCCCACCTGCCTCCCAGGGTGTCTGTTGTGGGGAGGGGAAGGGAAAGGAGTTTGTGAGCCACTCTGAGACACCTTTGGGTAGTGAAGGGCGGGGTATAAATCCAATCTCTTCTCCTCTTCTCTTTCCCCCACCCCTTCTCAGTCTGCCTCCCCCCTCTCTCTCTCACCCCCCCCCCCCGCCCCCTTTTTGCCCGCTTCCTCGTTTTTTTTGTTACTCCAAGGCTGTCTTGCTGGCCGCGGGGGAGGCCACCACAGAATGAAGCAACAAGTCCGGCGTGAGGAACCACGGGTTCGGACTGTGCAAGTGCAGACAACTCAGTTTTTTATTTGGGGAGGGGGTTTAACACACACCCCCGTGTACTTTTTTAACTTTTTGCATTTTTCTGCAACCTTGGAGAGTCTCCGAGTGTGCGAAAACCCCTCTTTAGCCTCCAGGTGCCCTTGTTCTGCGGAAATAAGTATCCGCACGCAGAGGGACCCTTGGCTATTAAATATATAGATGTGTGCCGCTCTGGCCACCGTCTTTCAAAAACGACACTGCAGAGCTGGGAAAAGTACAGCATGGTCTAGTGGTTAAGAGAGGTGGACTCTGATTTGGAGAACTGGGCTTGATTCCCCACTCCTCCTCCACATGAAGCCTGCTGGGTGACCTTGGGCCCGTCACGGTTCTCTCAGGACTCTCTCAGCTCCACCTGCCTCGCAAGGTGACCGTCGTGGGGAGAGGAAAGGAAGGTAGGTGTCAGCCACTTTGAAGCTCCTTAGGGCAGCAAAAAAGCAAGGCATAAAAACCAGCTTTCCTTCTGCTCCTACTGAGTTTGGCATTCATCCTCTAAGCCAGGGGTCATTTGGTAGAAAAAGAGGTGCAGGAGCTCATTAGCATAACTCATTTGCATGTGCCACACCCCCTGACATCACCGGAAGTGTGTCAGAAGGCAACACCCACCGCTTAGGTTCCACTGTACTGTTTTGGATTGCTAGTTTGGGGGGGGGGGGGGACACACGTGCAGATCTGCCCTCACAGAGGGCCACTGGACTGTTTTGGACGTTTTGGACGCGGGGGGGGGGGGGGGGGTCTCTGCAGCTTACCTGGCTGCTTCTTGCTCTGACTGAGGGCTGCTGGGAGCAGGGGGTGGGGCTTGTTGCATGTGCCTGCCCCCTGGGCTCTTTACTGCCGGAGCTCCGCTCCTGTGCGCTCCCGCAGGAAATGACCCCTGCTCTAAGCACTCGCGAGCACTGTGCTTCTGGCAGGCAGAGGCTAACGGATGAGGCTGAAGAATTGCTCTGGAGCCTAATCTATGGAGACGGCAGTCATGGTTGGAACGATCCCAGACCCCAATTGTTTCAGTCTTCACGTGCAGAGAATTTAACATGGCAGAGTGGTGGGTTTTTTTAGTTAGCCAGAACAAGAGGCAACCTGAAGGGCCTTTCGTCCTCTAGCCTGAAGGTGGGTGGGCTACAAGGGTCTTTCTGGCTTGGCCCAAAAGGAGGAAGGAAAGGGGGCGGTGAAGACTCCCCCGAACAGGCCCTGGCGACCCCAGCCTTTCAAATGTGACTGCTGTGGCCGGGGATGAAACTCGCACTTCTCCTACGTGGGAGGGTTCTCAACACCAAACCAGTCAGTGAGAATGCTTTTCTGGCTCAACATTTCCCCCCCTGCTGGATCTAGGCTCACACAATGGTCGACCTGGGAGGTACAAATGCAGTGCGAGACAGAGATAGCCGATCCCTTGGTCGCCCTCAGGATCTATTAATTAGAAGAGGAGAAGAAGCAGAGATTGGATTTATACCCCGCCCTTCACTCAGAGCGGCTTTGCCTTTCCCTCCCCACAACAGACACCCTGTGAGCAATGTTCCCTCTAAGCTGTGGAGTCTTGTGAGCAAAAATTCTGCTTTGTGAGCTACTGGCATTGAAATTGTGAGTGAGCGATTTGGCTACTGCATGAATTAGTTGGCTCTGGAGCCGTCCTTCCTGAGCCAGGACAAAAATTGTGTGAGCCGGAGGTTAAAAAACTGTGAGCTAACTCACCCTAACTCAGCTTAGAGGGAATACTGCCTGTGAGGTAGGTGGGGCTGAGACAGCGCTTTCCCATACTGCCCTTGAGAGAACAGCTCTGAGAGAACTTGTGACTGACCCAAGGACACACCAGCAGCTGCATTTGGAGGCGTGAGTGAATCAAACCCGGTTCTCCCGGATCAGAGTCCGTGTTCCTAACCACTACACAAAACTGGCATAGGATTTCCATAGACAGGGCATGGGATTTCCACAGGCTATGGAATGGTCCATTCTCCGTTTTTAGCTATGTTCCTCCCACACACGCTTGACCTGGATAGCCCAGGATGGCTGATCTCGTCAGATCTTGGAAGCTGGGCAGCGGTGGCCCTGGCGAGTATGTGGATGCGAGACCTCCCAGGAAGACCAGGGCCGTGAGGCAGAGGCAGGAAACTGCAAACCACCTCTGAACATCCCCAGTTAAAGGATCTTTTTCACCCAGAGAGTGATGAACACATGGAATTCATTGCCACGGGAGGTGGCGGCAGCAACAAGCATGGGACGGCTTCAAGAGGGAATTAGATAAGCATATGGAGCAGAGGTCCATCAGTGACTATTTAGCCACAAGGTATAGATAGGAACTCTCAGGGCAAGGGATGTTCTGTCTTCTTGGTGCTTTGGGGGGGGCAACAGTGGGAGGGCTTCTAATGTCCTGGCCCCACTGCTAGACCTCCTGATGGCACCTGGTATTTTTGGCCACTGTGTGACACAGAGAGTGCGTTTAGACGGGGGCTTTATACCGGTTAGGGTGCCGGTTCCAACCGTTGTACTCACCGCCGTTCAGACGGGGCACATCTGCCTCCTCTCCCTAACTGGTGTAAAGCCCTTTAAACCGTTGCACTCTGCTACCAGGTCCCCCTGTGGTGGTATACAGAGTGCAACGGTTGTAAACGGTGCACCCCGGCGTCTGATCGCTCTCCACCGTTCCACAGCTACTTCTGTCGGAAGCCTGAGGCTTCCGGCTTTCCCCAGCCATTTTTTTTTTACTTAGCGATATGCGCTCGGGCGAAGAGTCGCCCTGAGCGTTTGTTAAAATAATAAAAAAAGCCCTTACTTTAAGTACCCGGAGGAGTCCGGGACTACAGGGAGGCCAGGTTGGGCTTTAAACTTTAAAGGTAAGTCCTTACCTTTAAAGTTTAAATGTAATGGGGGGGGGGTTGAGCATGCGCAAAGATCGCCATTCTGTGAATGGCTGCCCATGTGAATGCTCAAACTGTGCTTTAAAAAAAAAAAAAAAACGCCAATGCCCGCAGCGTGTGAGCGGGCGTCTAACGGAGGGATCCGGAAGATGGAGGTAAGTGAAATCGCGTTTCTGCCGGCATAAACTGCACCGGTTCCAACCGGTGCAGTTTATGCCGGCAGAAACGCCCCGTCTGAACGCACACAGAGTGTTGGGCTGGATGGGCCACTGGCCTGATCCAACACTGGCTTCTCTTAGGTTCTTATGTCTGGGGCAAGGGATGCTCTGTATTCTTGGTGCTGGGGGGGGGGGCAACAGTGGGAGGGCTCCTAGTGTCCTGGTCCTACTGCTGGACCTCCTGATGGCACCTGGTGTTTTTGGCCACTGTGTGACACAGAGTGTTGGATTGGATGGGCCATTGGCCTGACCCAACACTTAGGTTCTTATGATCTGGCAGGAGCTGATGGTGTAGGAGAAGGGAAAAATGAGTGCGATTTCTGAATGTGAGTCCTGACCATTTTTTCTCTCTAAGCTGAGTTAGTGTGAGCTAGCTCACAGTTTTTTACACTCCGGCTCACACATTCTTGTCTTCGCTCAAGAAGGGATGGCTCCAGAGCAAACTGATTCACGCAGTAGCCAAATCACCTGCTCACAACTCTAATGCTCACAAAGTAGAATTTTTGCTCACCGGACTCCGCAGCTTAGATGGAGCATCTCCTCTGTCATGTTTATATGCTGGCAGCTGACACTGTGCCTTTATAAGAGTTTAATCATTGTATATTCAGGTTTTGGTATTTAGCCCAGATGGAAGAAATCTATAGTAGAACATACGTATTTTATAATTCTATTTTTCTTTCCGTATAAGAAGTTATATTAAGCAAAAAGTAATATTAGAAGCCTTTGTAAATGGAATTAGGATGCAAGAGGATGGAATGTGTAAGTTGCATGGATGCCAGCAGCGAAGGTTATAAGATGAGCGTTCCCAAAACAATAAAGGCCCCAGTCACACGGGCCGGATATCGCCGGGGGGGGGGGGGGGTGGCTAATTGCCCTGGCGCAGTTTGATCCGCGATTACGCGATCAGACGCGCCGGCGGCACACCACGGGTCCTTCCCTTGGCGCCGGTGGGTAAACAAGGGACCGGAGGGGAATGCCGCACTCCGGCGCAATCACACCACGGGCGTCTGGAGGCAGCCCATGGCAAACGTTTACTAGTACCTTGGAGGCAGTAGTTTTTTAACTCGCATTGTCAGCAGTAAGCCACCGGTGCGCTCCACTTCCCAGATGTTGGGGTGTGATCGCACCCGGATAATCCGCCCACCATCCGTGCCTCTCCCGCGGCAACTTTGCCGTGTGACCGGGGCCTAAGTTCTTTTGTTCGATGGAGAATCTGGTACCAGGAGACCTGCCAAGAACTAAGCTTAATGTGAATCACAACCCTGATCAGCCAGCTCTCCAAAAGGCAAGGAGAGAGGCTAGCCTCGCTGAGACCAGAGAGGGTCCCAGTGTTCTCTAATGTTTGCCATTGTTCTGAAGGCCAGATAACCAAAAGCAATCAGTGACATACGTGACTGGCATCAGGGGGAGACCAATAGTAAAGTTTAGAGTCAAACGATGCTTCCGTGGTGTTAACTGCTTGGTACCAATTAGAGATTCCTGAATGTGTAAATTATATGGGATGTCAAATGGGGTATAAGACCCTCTGCCCTTCCTGGTTAGGGCAGAATACAGCTTGGTGTTGCTAAGTGCTGAAAGGTACACAGCCCTGTATTTCCCGTTTTAGTTGCAATAAACAGATATTCATCTAACTCGTCGGACTCCGACTGTGTGATTCCAATCCGGCCACGGGGCCACATGGGCCACAGATTTGCGCATCAACGGGAAAGGCCTCCGCCTGAGACCCTGGAGAGCCACTGCCGGCCTGAGGGGACAAGACTGACTTTGATGGACTCATTAGAAAGCAACTTCAGGCTTTTCACGCAAGGGACTCCGGCGGCAGAAGGACCTATCCCGTCATGAATAACACTCCATTGTCTAAGCTACCTAAGTTAGTGGCCATCGCCTAGATGTGTGTCAGTGAATGCCATTAAGTTAATTATACTGTGGCCTCGGCCACACGGGCAGGAAAATGCGGGGGGAAGGCGTGGCTGTTTGCCCCGGAGCAAACTAACGCACGACTGCGCGATCAGGCGTCGGGTTGAGGTCCCGTGGAGCTCCCGTGGTTAGGGGGGAGGTGCCGATCACACAACGCGGCAAAGCGGAGCGGTGCGGCAAACGGGGTTGTGGTTTTTTTTAAAACTGAAATTTGCGCATGCTCCGCTGTGTGCTTGTGCGCATCCGTGGAGACTTGGGGGAAAAAAAACCTTTTTGCGAGGGGACATGGGCGGGTGCCAGAACTACCCCCGGAAACACGATCAGACGCCCGCCCCTTGCCCCGCGGTTTCCGGAAACTAGTACCTCCGAGGTACTAGTTTTTTACCCCGCATCTTCGGCGGGAAGCCTCGGGTGCGCCACGGGAGCTCCACGCTTCCCAGATGAGGCGGTGAGATCACGCCTGGAAAATCCGCCTATCTTCCGTCTCTCTAGCGTGCCTAATGCTCCGTGTGACCGGGGCCTTTCTGTGACAAACCACCCTATTTGGTCTGAACTGTCCTGGCACTGCACGCAAATTAAACGTTTCCCCTAGCCATCCTCGCCCAACTCACTCGCCCTTTGCAATCCTCTTACAGCTTGATGGAAGCATATACACAGGCCCTTGCTTACTCATCCGTCAATCCAAATCTCTTTTTCTACAGAAAAGAGTGTGCCTGAAATCTCTCCTGCAGCTTCGCTGAGTCTACAGTGTTCTTTCAGTCAATATGCAAGACAAAGCCGTGGCCTTCCGCCACTGAGAAAATTTCATGCCATACTACCTTTTCAAAGGACTTTGTCCACTCTGCGGCACTGTGGATGTTCCTTAAATTTCCTCTGTCTTCTATTTTGTAGTGTCGGATTTTCTGGTCTTCGAGCCAGACGATAAAGTTTCGAAATTCGGTTTCATCTGCCAAGATAAACAAACCACAGTTATCATGAGGTAAGGAAAGCCGGGCTCCGGCAATGCAGGCCACATAGCGTGAGATACTATCCCAGGGCGGAGGCCTTCCGTGCCCTCAGTCTAAAATACTCTGTTCTATTTTACATCCCAGCTGAGCAGGCCCCAAACACAGAGTCAGTCTCAGAAGAGCCAGATCTCATAACTAAGAGATATGGTCAAATGCCTGAACCCACTTCTGAGCAAGAATAGAACAATTTTACTCGAAAAAGCACCTCACCATCATTAGCTGCCAGCAGTACTCTCCAGAGCAAAGATACCTGCCAACAATTCTTACCACTATCACCTGTAAACCCCCCCCATTACATCCAAAAAAGTTGTAGCAGCGTCCAATGGGAAACAAAACTGTTTTGTTACCAAAACTGGGCCACTGTCAGCAAGCTGCCAATGTGTCTTTAATGTATGTATTGGGTCTGTCTGCATCCCTTCCCCTTCCCCCTCGCTTGTCAACAACTTCTATTGCCATAGTAACAGTAGTATACTCTGGTGCGCATGTCCATCCTCACCCCCATGCGCTCATCTCCTCCACTGCATTCCTTTCCATGTACGCTAGCTTTGCTTTGATGGCGCATTATCAATCCAAGGCCGCAGGTGGTGTGCAGCAAGAGGCTTTTGCTTAGTCTGTAATAAATATGTAGTGTGGGAATAGTCTAATTGTTTAACTGTAGGGAACCGTTGCTTCTCAGGGTTTGGGCGCGCTGGGCGCCTTCTAGGCGGGAGCGGGAATCATACCTATTGGCTACTGTAATTATGAACTTGCTTTAACCTATCTGTCAAACGCTCAACTTGTTATTCTGAACAGAGAATCTGTTCCAAGTGCTTCATGGCTTCAATAAAGTAAAACCTTCCTGCAAGTGTGTACTTCATTGCCTGCTGTGGGGTCTGACGGCCACAACATAAGAGAAGCTGATGTTGGATCAGGCCAATGGCCTATCCACTCCAACACTCTGTGTCACACAGTGGCCAGAAATACCAGGGGCCATCAGGAGGTCCGGCAGTGGGGCCAGGACACTAGAAGCCCTCCCACTGTCCCCACACACACACACAAACACCAAAGAAGACAGAGCATCCCTTGCCCCAGCCTGAGAGTCCCTATCTATACCTTGTGGCTAATAGCCACTGATGGACCTCTGCTCCAGATGCTTATCCAATTCCCTCTTGAGGCCGTCCATGCTTGCAGCCACCACCTCCTCCTGCGGCAGTGAAGTCCACATGTTCATCGCTCTTTCCCCCTTCATGTAAGAATGAAAGAACAGTCCTGCCGCATCAGACCAGGGACCATTTAGACCAGCATTTTGCTACCAAGCGCGGTTACCGAGACTATTCAAGCCACGCGTGGGGTGAGGACTGTCTTTCTGACCACCTTTTAAAGTACAGGATTCCCTCATCCCTGGCCTGGCCTGGGTGGGTTAATCCTGCACAGAGAGTCAGGCGATTTTGCATCCTGTCCGAGTCATCTACTGGATGTGCTACAGTTTATTGGGAGTCCCAGTTCTCTGCTGGGGGAGGGAAGGAAGCAGAGAAGCCTGCAGCTGCTTAACGTTTTCACCCGCCAGCTACATTTCTCCTGCAAACCCCTTCCTTCCACCACCTGCCTCTTTCCCACCCTGCTACAAATTGTAGGGAAAAAACCGAGGGAGGGGGGGGGGTCTGAATGCAACAAACCATTGATGGGGGCGGTCACCTCCCACAAACTGTTCCTTATCCCGATCACTACCCTATGGCCTCGCAACTGTCCCCAGAACTCCACCCACCATCTGGTCCCACTCGAGAGATCTACAGGAAAGTGCTGCAGTGGATTAAGGACTTTTCAGTTAGGAAAGAGATGACTAAGGGGGAAAACGACAGAGGTCTATAGAATTATGCGTGGGGTGGAGAGACCTGACAAAGATAACTTTTCCTCCCTCTCTCCAAGCATAGAACTCAAGGGCATCCAATGAAGCTGATGAGCAACAGGTCCAAGACAGAGGGTAATTAAAATGTGGAATCCGATGCCAGAGGATGTAGGGATGGCCACAGGAACAGACAGCTTTCAGAGGGGATTAGACAGATTCGTAGAGGACAGGTCTATCAATGGCTACCAGCCATGGTGACTGAGGGGAATCTCCACATTCAGAAGCACTACGCCTCTGAATCCCAGAGCCAGGAGGCTACATCAGGGGAAGGCCTCGGCCTCTCTGCCCTGTTGTTGGCCCTCCAGAGGAACTTGTTGGCCACTGTGTGAGACAGGATGCTGGACTAGATGGACCCTCACTGGTCTGATCCAGCAGGGCTCTTCTGATGCTCTTATCAGGGGAAGGCCTCAGTCTCTCTGCCCTGTTGTTGGCCCTCCAGAGGAACTGGTTGGCCACTGTGTGAGACGGGATGCTGGACTAGATGGCCCCCTGGTCTGATCCAGCAGGGCTCTTCTGATGTTCTTATGAAGGCCTCTGTGTCCTGTTGTTGGCCTTCCGGAGGAGCTGGTCGGCCCCTGTGTGAGACAGGATGCTGGACTAGATGGACCACTGGTCTGATCCAGCAGGGCTCTTCTGATATTCTTAATCCTACACAGAGATATTCAGAATTAAAACTCAAATGAACTCAGTTTATTTCAAGTGTTTGGGATATGGGAAGTTTCTCAGTACCTCTGCATAGGACTGCAGCCAAATGAGCCAACTGCGGACTTAATAATCAGTGCTCAGTGATGGTGTTGAGATTTGAGCAAGGTTTAAAAGCGCAATATGGGAACACACACGGAGACAGCAACATGGGAGTAACACCCTCCCCCCCTTTGGTTTCCTGTGGAACAGAAAAACATCACTCTCTGTTTGGCCTACACTGGCACCCTTGCTCACAGAAGGACCACCCATGACTGGTGGTCTCTGCCCCAAACAAAAACAAAATATTCCATTCAAGTTACTTCTTAGGAGTAACTCACATAGCGATATAACACACACAATGCACTACAAACATGAAAGAGGCCATGCTGGATCAGGCGAGTGGCCCATCCAGTCCAACACTCTGCGTCGCACAGGGGCCAAACCCCAGGTGCCATCAGGAGGTCCACCAGCGGGGCCCGGACTCCAGAAGCCCTCCCACTCTTGCCCCCCCCCCCAAGCACCAAGAAGACTGCCCCAGACAGAGTGCTTCCTCTATGCCTTGTGGCTAATAGCCACTCATGGGCCTCCACTCCACATGTTAATCCAGTCCCCTCATAAGAACATAAGAGAAGCCATGTTGGATCAGGACAATGGGCATTTTAGTCCAACCCTCTGGGTCACACAGTGGCCAAAGCCCAGGTGCCCTCAGGAGGGACCACCAGTAGGGACAGAACTCCAGAAGCCCTCCCACTGTGGGGACCCCCAAGCACAAAGAATTCAGAGCATCACTGCCAGAGTGCTCCCTCTATATCTTGTGGCTAATAGCCACTCATAGCTCCACATGTTAACCAATCCCCTCATAAGAACGTAACAGAAAAAATGTTGGATCAGGCCAAGGGCCCATCCAGTCCAACCCTCTGTGTCACACAGTGGCCAAAACTACCAGGTGCCATCAGGAGGTCCACCAGGAGGGCCAGAACTCCAGAAGCCCCGCCCACTGTTGCCCCCCCCCCAAGCACCAGGAATACAGAGCATCTCTGCCCTAGACATAAGACCCTAAGAGAAGCCGTGTTGGATCAGGCCAATGGCCCATCCAGTCCAACACTCTGTGTCACACAGTGGCCAAAACCCAAGGGACCATCAGGAGGTCCATCAGGAGGGCCCTCCCACTGTTGCCCCCCTTCCAAGCACCAGGAATACAGAGCATCTCTGCCCCAGACATAAGACCCTAAGAGAAGCCGTGTCGGATCAGGCCAATGGCCCATCCAGTCCAACACTCTGTGTCACACAGTGGCCAAAACCCAAGGGACCATCAGGAGGTCCATCAGGAGGGCCCTCCCACTGTTGCCCCCCTTCCAAGCACCAGGAATACAGAGCATCACTTGCCCCATACGCAGAGTTCCTATCTACCTTGTGGCTAATAGCCACTGATGGACTTCTGCTCCATATGCTTATCCCCTCTTGAAGCCATCCATACTTGTAGCTGCCACCACCTCCTGTGGCAGTGAATTCAATGTGTTATCACTCTTTGGGTGAAGTAGTACTTCCTTAGCATCCCATGCCCCAGACATAAGAGCCTAAGAGAAGCCATGTTGGATCAGGCCCAGGGCCCCTCCAGTCCATCACTCGACGTCACACACGGTGGCCCAAACCCAGGGGCCATCAGGAGGTCCGCCAATCAACAACGACCGAATCAATAAAATCAACCCATTCAACAGGCCCTCCTTCGGAACAATTCTTTGAACGATAAGGGGGATGGGGAAGCGTGAATGAACAAAGGGGCGTGGCTCATAATACACGTCACCAGTCTGGGGAGGGGGCGCCGAGCGGCGCGCGGGCCGCGGTGGGCGGGGCCAAGGGAGGCGCATGTGCGCCAGCGAGGCCAGGCACGGCGGTGGAAGGGGGGGGAGGGGCTGGAGCCCGGCCGCGGCCTTCTCGCGCCCGCTCACCTCGGCAGTTGAACCCGGCCGGGTTGTGGTAGTCGAGCGCGGACAGTTTCCGCCGGAACATGGCGCTGCGTCTGGGCGAGACTCCGTCCGCTCCGGTCGGCCGCGACGGCGAAGCGCCTCAATCCGTCGGTCTCCTCTGAGGAGACGGGCAGCGCGCGCCTGCGCAGAAGCGGTGGCGAACGGGAGAAAGGAGAAGCCCCGCCCTCCCGTCCTCGCGTATGCCGCAGCCGGCCAATCAGAACTGGGGAGGGCGCGGCTCGACGCCTAGGTATAGGGGTCACGATGGATGAGGCAGTTAATTGACACGCCGTTTCGCGAATAAAAGGCTGCGGAGGCGGGGATTCGTGTTGGAAGGGGACGGGGAGGCAGGCCTCGAGGGTTACGGTCTTCATAGTCAACTGGGACGACTTCCGGTCCTGTACTGGGGTTGGTGGAAGCCGACATGTGCGGGGCAGGGAGAGTGGAAGTGCGTCGGCCCGTGTACAATAACTCGCTTTAAGCAATCGCAGCTGGAGGCAGGTCTTTGTGATTTCGCATGCTTTCTGAGCGAAAAATAATCACTCAATCAATCAATAAACCTTTAATGGCATATACAACCTTAAAAATCAAAGACAGAAAATGACACAATCAACTAAAAAGTCTAGGTTAATTAGAAAATCATGAAACGGACTTTCCCAAATTTTTCACTCTCATCACGTCGACTAAAAAATTGGCCGAAAAATAATAAATAACGAAAGATTTCCCCTCTTCTCCTGCCAGGTCCTTTGTGGTATTTAATCCCTCTTGCTAAGCACCATGTCCTCAGGAGAAGACGGACTTCACCTGTTGGATTTCTGCTCGTGCCTTATTTTTAAATGCACAGTAGCCGACTTGCTGTTGTCGGGGGTACTTTGACAACCACGTGGACTCTGTCCTAACCAGCAGGAAACTCGCAGCAGCATTTTGGTTCTTCCCCCAGCAAGCTGTACTGCAGGCAGAGATTCAACCGGTCGAGACCTGCCTCGCCTTGGAGCTGCAGCCGCGGCGAAGGCTGCGGCCCTTCAGGATTTGCCAGTGGTACCTTTTGAAGGGTGAAGAGAGAAGAGGAGATTGGATTCATACCCCATGGCCCTTCACTACCCGAAGGAGTCTCAGAGCGGCTCACAAACTCCTTTCCCTCCCCCTCCTCACAACAGACACCCTGTGAGGTAGAAGAAGAAGAAGAAGAGATTGGATTTATCCCCCGCCCTTCACTACCCGAAGGAGTCTCAGAGCGGCTCACAAACTCCTTTCCCTCCCCCTCCTCACAACAGACACCCTGTGAGGTAGAAGAAGAAGAAGAAGAGATTGGATTTATCCCCCGCCCTTCACTACCCGAAGGAGTCTCAGAGCGGCTCACAAACTCCTTTCCCTCCCCCTCCTCACAACAGACACCCTGTGAGGTAGAAGAAGAAGAAGAAGAGATTGGATTTATCCCCCGCCCTTCACTACCCGAAGGAGTCTCAGAGCGGCTCACAAACTCCTTTCCCTCCCCCTCCTCACAACAGACACCCTGTGAGGTAGAAGAAGAAGAAGAAGAGATTGGATTTATCCCCCGCCCTTCACTACCCGAAGGAGTCTCAGAGCGGCTCACAAACTCCTTTCCCTCCCCCTCCTCACAACAGACACCCTGTGAGGTAGAAGAAGAAGAAGAAGAGATTGGATTTATCCCCCGCCCTTCACTACCCGAAGGAGTCTCAGAGCGGCTCACAAACTCCTTTCCCTCCCCCTCCTCACAACAGACACCCTGTGAGGTAGAAGAAGAAGAAGAAGAGATTGGATTTATCCCCCGCCCTTCACTACCCGAAGGAGTCTCAGAGCGGCTGACAAACTCCTTTCCCTTCCCCTCCCCACAACAGGCACCCCTGTGAGCATTGCTCCCTCTAAGCTGGTTTAGCTTGAGCAAGCCCGTTTTTATTGCTTTGACTACATATCAGGCTTTTGAGCAAGGGAAAACCTTTACCTTTTGAAAGTATGATGAAGGGGATGTTGGGGAGAAATGCTTTTTGTTTCATACACCCTGTGTTACATAATTATGTTTTTATGTACATAATTGTGCTATGCAACCCCCTTTTCCAGGGGTCATTTCTTAGAAAAAGAGGTGCAGGAGCTCATTAGCATACCTTATTAGCATGACTTATTTGCATATGCCACACCCCCTGACATCACCGGACGTGTGTCAGAAGGCAACACCCACCACTCAGGCTCCACTGGACTGTTTTGGATGGCTAGCTATTGGGGGAGGGGGGGATCGTGCAGATCTGTCCTCACAGAGGAGGGAGAGCTTGTACCTGAATAAAACTTGGTCTTAAAGGTGCCACTGGACTGTTTTGGATTGCTAGATATTGGGGGGGGGGAAACGTGCAGATCTGCCCTCACAGAGGAGGGAGAGCTTGTACCTGAAGGCCGGGGGGGGCCCTCTGCAACTTACCTGTGCTCCTGGTGGCCCGACTGAGGGCTTCTGGGAGCAGGGGGCGGGGCTTGTCGCATGTGTCCACCCCCTGGACTTCTTACTGCCGGAGCTCCGCTCCTGTGCGCTCCCGCAGGAAATGACCCCTGCGGCCTTTTCATTTGCTTGTCCCCTTCACATCTTACTTTGTGTTCTAAAACATCGAAAGACAGCTTTATCTTCACAACAGCCCGGGGAGGTGGGCTGAATTCGGAGTGGAAGTTTTATTTCTTTTTATAAGAGTTATAAAAAGACCGCTGTATCTTCACAACAGCCCAGGGAGGTGGGCTGAATTCCGAGTGAGAGTTTTTTAAGAGTTATAAAAAGATGACTGTATCTTCACAACAGCCCGGGGAGGTGGGCTGAATTCTGAGTGGAAGTTTTATTTCTTTTTATAAGAGTTCTAACCCACCCGTTTACGGCATTAACGGTGAAAGGGTAATTGAAGGTAAATAGAACCCCACTTAAGTAAATCATTAAAACAAAATCACAGAATAAACGAAGCACATGTGGTGCATTGGACAGAGTATTCAGGACCTGGGAGGGCCAAGTCCAGATCCCCGCTCTGCCACGGGTCCAGTCACACTCTCTCAGCCTGGCGTACCTCACAGGGTTGTTGTAATGATAAAATGGAGGACAGAATTGTTGGATGTTGTAACTCTGCATGCAAGAGTATCTCGGAGGGAAAGGGTTAAGAGAATTCTCTCATTCTCCTTGGTGTCCTGGTTAGGAGCATGGACTCTCATCTGGGAGAACTGGGTTTGATTCCCCACTCCTCCACTTGCACCTGCTGGCGTGACCTTGGAGCAGTGACAAGTTCTTGAAAGAGCTGTTCTTGAAAGCGCTCTCTCAGACCCACCTACCTCACAGGGTGCCTGTTGTGGGGAGGGGAAGGGAAAGGAGATTGTAAGCCCCTCTGAGACTCTGAGTGAAGGGTGGGGTATAAATCCAATTCTTCCAATTCCTCCTCCTCCTCCTCTTCTCTCGTTTACACTTGGTAGTTGGGCCTCTTAGATGTTGAGCCTCTTGGCCGTTGCTTTTGCCTTCTGTGTTTCATTTCATACAGGATCTCTCTTCTTTTCTCTCTTCCCCGGGCTTAGAGCTATAGCAAGTTCACCTTTTCGAAATTAATCAGTTCACAATCAGTTAAACGTCCCTACATGATTACGTCCCATAAGACGTGCTTCGGTTTTTGTAAGTAAAATTTCTTGTTGCCACTGGAGTCGGGCCATCTTTGCAATTCATCTGAACAGCATTTCCCCCCACCCCCAGCACCAAGAAGATAGAGCATCCCTTGCCCCAGAGCCCCTATCTATACTTTGTGGCTAATAGCCACTGATGGACCTCTGCTCCATATGCTTATCTAATTCCCTTTTGAAGCCGCCCATGCTTGTAGCCGCCACCACTTCCTGTGGCAGTGAATTCCATGTGTGAATCACTCTTTGGGTGAAGAAGTACTTCCTTTTCTCCGTTCTAACCCGACCGCTCAGCAATTTCATGGAGTGCCCACGAGTTCTTGTATTGTGAGAAAGGGAGAAAAGTACCTCTTTCTCTACCTGCTCTATCCCATGCATAATCTTATAAACCTCAATCATGTCACCCCTCAGTCGTCATTTTTCCAAGCTAAAGAGCCCTAAGCGCCTTAACCTTTCCTCATAGGGAAAGTGTTCCAACCCTTTTATCATTCGAGTTGCTCTTTTCTGCACTTTTTCCAAAGCTATAATATCCTTTTTAAGGTGTGGTGACCAGAACTGCACACAGTATTCCAAATGAGGTCTCACCATTGATTTATATAGGGGCATTATGATATTGGCTGATCTGTTTACAATACCCTTCCTAATAATCCCCAGCATAGCATTGGCCTTCTTTATTGCAGTCACACACTGTCTCAACATTTTCAGTGAGTTATCCACTACAACTCCAAGATCTCTCTCTTGCTCAGTCTCTGCCAGTTCAGACCCCATCAATGTGTATTTATATTTAGGATTTTTGGCTCCAATGTGCATCACCTTGCACTTGGCCACACTGAACCCCATTTGCCATGTTGCCACCCACTTGCCCATCCTTGACAGATCCCTTTGGAGTGCCTCACAATCCTCACTGGTTTTCACCACCCTGAACAACATAAATCAGTTTGCTCTAGAGCTATTCCTTCCGGAGCGAAGGCAAAAATGTGTGAGCCAGAGGCTAAAAAACTGTGAGCTAGCTCACACTAACTCAGCTTAGAAGGAACACTTCATAAATATCGTGGGCCCTAGGCGCTGTGCCTACTGGATAAGTCCACCGTGATTCTCAAATCACAGCTAACAGCTGTGGTTTTGCTTTCTGTATGGGGCGTCTGATTTGAAAATTTTACTGTTAGCTGCCTTGGAAATTTTTATTGAAAAAAAGGGGGGGGGGAACGTCAGTAAAAACCAGCAAAGAAACAGTACTTGGACGCTCTCGCTGGGAGTTGCTGTGGCTAAATGGAGTTTGTGCCAAACCCCCAGCAGAGGGCTTTGGAGAAGACGGCTTTGCTGTTCTTTATAGTGAGTCTTTAGCTGGCGAGCCAAATTATTCTAACAGATAAGTACAATAACCGCAGAACAGCAGTTAGTGGAGATACAGAGGGCCGCCGTGGTAGTCTTTTTGGGGAGGCTTGACTTGCAAAGGCTTGGAGCATTGATTCTCAGACACAGGCATCCAGCCCCATCAGATCACAACATGGGGTGTGTTTGTGCACGTGTGTGTGTGTGTGTGTGTGTGTGTGTGTGTGTGTGTGTGTGTGAGAGAGAGAGAGAGAGAGAGAGGGAGAGGGGGAGAGAGAGAGACTGACTCATGTGCTAAGGCAATGAGTAAAGGGAGACTGATTCCCAGCATGGGGCTTTTGAGTGTCTGGGGAGCTCAATAAAGGCAGGCGTTTGCCTCTGAAGCCATCTCAAGGGGTTGTGGCCTACTGCTCTGTGCAGCTTATGACTGTGCCTTCCTCACATGAAATGTTCAGGGCGGACAAGAGGAAATGCTAACCCTCCAGAGGAACTGGTTGGCCGCTGTGTGAGACAGGATGCTGGACTAGATGGACCACTGTCCTGATCTAGCAGGGCTCTTCTGAGGTTCTTATCAGGGAAGGCCTCAGCCTCTGTGCCCTGCTTTTGGCCCTCCAGAGGATCTGGTCGGCCACTGTGTGAGACAGGATGCTGGACTAGATGGACCACTGGCCTGATCCAGCAGGACTCTTCTGATGTATTTATGAAGGCCTCAGCCTCTGTGCCCTGCTGTTGGCCCTCCAGAGGAACTGTGATATCACTGTGTGAGACGGGATACTGGACTGGATGGACCCTGACTGGTCTGATCCAGCAGGGCTCTTCTGATGTTCTAATGAAGGCCTCAGCCTCTCTGCCCTGTTGTTGGCCCTCCAGAGGGACTGGTTGGCCGATCTGTGAGACAGGATGCTAGACTAGATGGACCCTCACTGGTCTTATCCAGCAGGGCTCTTCTGATGTTCTTAGGAAGGCCTCGGCTTCTCTGCCCTGTTGTTGGCCCTTCAGAGGAACTGGTTGGCCACTGAGTGAGACCGGATGCTGGACTAAATGGACACTGGTCTGACCAAGCAGGGCTTTTCTGATGTTCTTATGAAGGCCTCGGGAGAGAGCCAGTTTGGGGGAGAGAGCCAGTTTGGTGTAGTGGTTAAGTGTGCGGACTCTAATCTGGGAGAACCGGGTTTGATTCCCCACTCCTCCACTTGCACCTGCTGATGTGACCTTGGGTCAGTCACAAGCTCTGGCACAGCTGTCCTTGAAAAAGAGCAGTTTGTGTCAGAGTTCTCTCAGCCCCACCCACCTCACAGGGTGTCTGTTGTGGGGAGGGGAAGGGAAAGGAGTTTGTAAGCCGCTCTGAGACACCTTTGGGTAGTGAAGGGCGGGGTATAAATCCAATCTCTCTCATCTCTCTCTCTATACCCTGTTGTCGGCCCTCCAGAGGAACTGGTTGGGGCCACTGTGTGAGAGAGGATACTGGACTAGATGGACCGCTGGTCTGATCCAGCAGAGCTCTTCTGATGTTCTTATGAGGAAGACCACTCGTGCACCAAAGAAAGGTGCTTCTGTTAGCTGAGTGTAGCGCTAGGGCCGGACCATAACATCTTTTCACAATATGTGTTTGTGTGGGAGGTAGAGGAATGGCATTGCAGAAGCCGTCCCACAAGAGCATGCGTTCTTTCAAGGAACTGGCCTTAACCAAACAGAGGTCGTCCTACAGAAATACGATGCACCTATCTCTTCATGAGCTTAGGCGGGAATCTCCACAGGGCCGTAATCACCGCATGCGCCTTCATCACCATCCTGCCGGGCCTTGGTTGGGCATGCCGCAGTGCGCCACTGTGAAGAAGACCCTTTTCTGCTTCTGCTCCCAGGACAGCTTAACTTCTAAGGCCAGGGTCCTCAACCTCTTCTGAGCCCTCAGGCACATTTGGAATTCTGGAACGGCGTGGTGGGCACGGACACAAAATGGCTGCCGGAGGGGGTGGAGCCAGCCACAAAAGGATGGGCTTCGATTCCGCGGGGCCTGCAAGGCGGGGCTGTTCCGCCAGGCCTTTGGCAGAGGGGGCGGACGTTCATCTATGGCCTCCCTGAGGCGTCTGTCACTCTGTTAACAACCCCTGGTTCTGGCCAGGAACCTCCCACAACCAGAAAATTTCTTTGGTACCAGCTGTGACCACCATTTTTAAGTTCATATTGATGTTTTAAAGTTTAATGTTATTGTATTAACAAATAAATTTTGTATAAATGATATGTTGTTACCGCATTGAGCCCACTTCTGGGAAGGGTCAGGCTATAAATGGGGGGAGAGACAGAGAGACAGAGAAGGATCATAGGCAACGCTCCCTCTAAGCTGTGGAGTCTTGTGAGCAAAAACTCTACTGTGTGAGCGACTGGCATTAAAGCTTTGAGCGAGCGATTGGGCTGCTGCATCAGTTAGTTTGCTCTGGAGCCCTCCTTCCTGAGCTAAGACAAAAATGTGTGAGCCAGAGGCTAAAAAACTGTGAGCTATCTCACACAAACTCAGCTTAGAGGGAACACTGTCTGTGACTACTAGCCATGGTGACTGAGGGGAACCCTCCACATTCAGAGGCACTAAAGCTCTGAATCCCAGGGCCACGAGGCCACACCAGGGGAATTCCTCAGCCTCTATGCTCTGTTGTTGGCTAACCAGGGGAACTAGGCGGCCGTCTGAGGCAGGATGCTGGACTAGATGGACCCCTGGTCTGATCCAGCAGGGCTCTTCTCATGTTCTGATGTACTGACCAGGGCTTTTTTTTTGTAGAAAAAGCCCAGCAGGAACTCATAAGTATATTAGGCCACACCCATGACAGAGCAGCTCATTAGCATATTAGGCCGCACCCCCGTGTTAACAGAAGTGTGCTCATCGAGCCCCACCCACCTTTTGCTTCTTATTCTGTTTACCTTGTTTGTTGTCAAAACCCAGGGCCTTTTTTTGGAGCAGGGACTCCTTTGCATGTTAGGCCACCCCCCCCCCCAATATAGCCAATCCTAATGAGTTTCTGCTATTGGGTGTGGCCTATTATGCTAATGGGTTCCTGCTGGGCGTGGCCAACTCGGGAGCCAGCCGGAACTCCGTTCCTGTGCGTTCCTGCCCAAAAATAGCCCTCTGACCAATGCTCCTTCCGAGCTGTGGAGTCCAGTGAGCAAAAATTCTACTCTGTGAGTGACTGGCATTAAAGCTGTGAGCGAGCGATTGGGCTGCTGCATAAATTACTTTGCCCTGGAGCCATCCCTTCCTGAGCTAAGGCAAAAATGTGTGAGCCAGAGGCTCGAAAACTGTGAGCTAGCTCACACTGACTCAGCTTAGAGGGAACACCGGTACTGACCCTGCTTAGCTTCCAAGATCTGATGAGATTGGGCTATTCCACGCTGCCTTCCCTCCCGATTAGGACTGTAGGGAAGAGGTTTTTAAGTCTCCGCTGCAGAATTTGCCTTAGTAGCAGGAGGTTTGAACTCCTCTCTGGTCTCAATCGGATCAAACTCCGCGGTGTCTGAAAATTAAGGCTGTTTTTTTTAAATTGAATGTCACCAGGGATCATTTCGTAGAAAAAGAGGTGCAGGAGCTCATTAGCATAACTTATTTGCATATGCCACACCCCCTGACGTCACCGGAAGTGTGTCAGAAGGCAACACCCACCACTTAGGCTTCACTGGACTGTTTTGGACTGCTAGCTATTGGGGGGAGGGGGGACGTGTAGATCTGTCCTCGCAGAGGAGGGAGAGCTTGTACCTGAATAAAATTTGGTCTTAAAGGTGCCACTGGACTGTTTTGGATTGCTAGCTATGGGGGGGGGGACGTGCAGATCTGTCCTCGCAGAGGAGGGAGAACTTGTACCTGAATAAAACTTGGTCTTAAAGGTGCCACTGGACTGTTTGGGGCTGGGGGGCGGGGGTAGGCTCTGCAACTTACCTGGCTGCTTCTGGCTCTGACTGAGGGCTGCTGGGAGCAGGGGGTGGGGCTTGTTGCATGTGCCCGCCCCCTGGACTCTTTACTGCCGGATCTCTGCTCCTGTGCGCTCCATCAGGAAAGGACCCCTGAATGTCACTGAATGTTCCAAACGTGGCACTCCCAGCACACGTCTGATTCGTGAGTGTGGAATAACCTTCTTCCACCTGGGAGCAATGCTCCCTCTAAGCTGTGGAGTCTTGTGAGCAAACATTCTACTTTGTGAGCTACTGGCATTCGTGAGTGAGCCATTTGGCTCCTGCGTAAATAAAGATTGCTCTGGAGCAGTGTTCCCTCTAAGCTGAGTCAGTGTGAGCTTTTGTTGTTGTTCAGTCGCACAGTCGAGTCCGACTCTTCGCGACCCCATGGACCAGATCACGCCAGGCCTTCCGGTCTTCCGCCGTCCTCTGAAGTTGGCTCAATTTCATGTTCGTTGCATCGATGACACTGTCTAACCATCTCATCCTTTGCCGTCCCCATCTTCTTTGGCCTTCAATCTTTCCCAGCATCAGGGTCTTCTTCTCCAGTGAGTGCTCCCTTCTCATTGGGTGGCCAAAGTATTTGAGCTTCAGTTTCATTATCTGGCCTTCAAGGGAATAGTCAGGGTTGATTTCTTTTAGGACTGACTGATTTGATCTCCTTGCAGTCCAAGGGACTCTCAAGAGTCTTCTCCAGCACCATAGTTCAAAAGAATCTATTCTTTGGCGCTCGGCCTTCCTTATTTTTAGCCTCCAGCTCACATATTTTTGTCTTCGCTCAGGAAGGATGGCTCCAGAGCAAACTAATTTATGCAGCAGCCAAATCGCTCGCTCACAACTTTAATGCCAGTAGCTCACAAAGCAGAATTTTTGCTCACAAGACTCCACAGCTTAGAGGGAGCATTGCATCTAGAGCCATCCTTCCTGAGCTAAAAATGTTTGAGCCGGAGGCTAAAAAACTGTGAGCTAGCTCACATTAACTCAGAAGGACCACTGCCTGGGAGATGCTTTTGTGTCCCTCCTGAAAGCCCCAAAGGGGAGGCTCCGAAATGAAAAGACCGCCAGCCGCCCTTTTTCACAACGTACAATTTACTTGCAGAACAAAAAGCTACCCGATACAAATGATAGAAAAACGGTGGCACGAAGTACGCCAGGAACACACAAAGACAGCTGCGCCGACTCTCCGCCGTCGCGGCCCATCCTCAGCGACTCGAGAAAGAAAAAGAGAAACAGAGAGAGAAAGAGAGAGAATTGTCACGGCAGCTCCGCCGCCGGTCTCTCCCCTTCCTCGTACACCTCTACTCTACGATGCTAAATACGCACAAGACCCACCACTAAGGATCACCGTCACCCACCTAACGTGTTGTGGCTATTTTACAATGGCACATTAAATTAAAGTGACACGGGGAGGGGAGGCCAAACCAAACCCAGGAAGGCTACCGATACACACACACAAACATCACACCCCCTTTGCGTCAGCTGCAGCATCGCCGCCCGCAACCCTCTTTTTCATTAAAAAAAAAAAAATGTAGGACCGAAAAGAAAGAGAGGCCAAAAACGAAGAGGTGTTTGGCAAGAGCGGACGTGGACATTAAATGGACTCTCTGACGCGTTGGTTTCCCCCTCCCTCTCCGGGTGACTCCACAGCCGTCGAGGCCTGTGGCCTGCCGAGACGGATCAACCCCACGAGCTCCGACGACGCGACGGAGGCCCCTTTGACTCTTGGATCATGCATTCCCCCCTGTCAAACTCCCGGGCTGCTCGGTTCTTTTGAAAGTGTGGGCGGACGCCGGCGACGAATCCGCCGCTGGCGGAAAAAAATCTCTACATCATTGTCCGGAGTGGCCCCACGCCCGAGCCGGGCTCGCGTGAGGTTTACAGGATGGCGCAGAAGAACTTCTTCTCCCGAAAGGGGTTTTCTGAGGCAGGCACCGGGGTCAGTAGGGGGTCCTCCTTGGCATGGGCTTCGCAGTAGGCCATCAAGTCAGCCGCTGCTTTAGACACCTGGAAAAGAGAGAAGAGAGGGGTATTTTCTTTTTAATGAGGCAGAAACCCATCCCATTGGCTAAACCCGTCCCATTGGCGAAAGGTACCAGATTGATTTGAAAGGAAGACGACCCTCCCAACATTATGCACAAAAATAGGACTACTGAGTACATCCGTAAACTGCATGCCGATGTCAGATCGTCCCCTTCTTTATTGAATAGCATACCTGATGAAAATAAAGCTAGTCAAAATATAGTCATAGGGCAATATTAAGGACACAAGAAGAAGAAGAGATTGGATTTATACCCGGCCCTTCACTACCCGAAGGTGTCTCAGAGCGGCTCACAAACTCCTTTCCCTTCCCCTCCCCACTTAAGACACCTTGTGAGGTAAAAGAAGAAGAAGAGGAGATTGGATTTATACCCCGCCCTTCACTACCCAAGGGAGTCTCAGGGGGACTTACAAACGCCTTTCCCTTCCCCTCCCCACAACAGACATCCCCTGTGAGGTAGAAGAGACTGGATTTATACCCCGCCCTTCAGTACCCATGAGAGTCTCAGAGCGGCTTACAAACTCCTTTTCCCTTCCCCTCCCCACAACAGGCACCCTGTGAGGTAAAATAAGAAGAGGAGATTGGATTTATACCCTGCCCTTCAATGCCCTTCAATACCCAAAGGAGTCTCAGAGCGGCTGACATACTCCTTTCCCTTCCCCTCCCCTGTGAGGTAAAAGAAGAAGAGGAGATTGGATTTATACCCCGCCCTTCACTACCCAAGAGAGTCTCAGAGCGGCTTACAAACTCCTTTCCCTTCCCCTCCCCACAACAGGCACCCTGTGAGGTAAAAGAAGAAGAGGAGATTGGATTTATACCCCGCCCTTCACTACCCAAGAGAGTCTCAGAGCGGCTTACAAACTCCTTTCCCTTCCCCTCCCCACAACAGGCACCCTGTGAGGTAAAAGAAGAAGAGGAGATTGGATTTATACCCTGCCCTTCAATACCCAAAGGAGTCTCAGAGCGGCTTACAAACTCCTTTCCCTTCCCCTCCCCACAACAGGCAACCTTTGAGGCAGGTGGGGCTGAGAGACCTCTGACAGAAACGGCTCTTTTTCAAGAACAGCTGTGCCAGAACTACGGCTTGCTCAAGGTCATCCAGCAGGTGCAGGTGGAGGAGTGGGGAATCTAACCCGGTTCTCCCAGATTAGAGTCTGCGCACTTAACCACGACACCAAACTGAAGAGCCCCTCTAGATCAGACCAGTGGTCCATCAATTCTAGCATCCCATCTCACACCGTGGCCAACAGGACATAGAGACCAAGGCCTTAATAAGGACATAAGAAGAGCCCTGCTGGATCAGACCAATGGTCCATCTAGTCCAGCATTCTGTCTCACATAGTGGCCCCAACCAGTTCCTCTGGAGGGCCAACAACAGGGCACAGAGAACATCAGAAGAACATTATAAGAACATCAGAAGAAGAACATCAGAAGAACATCAGAAGAACATCAGAAGAACATCAGAAGAACATCAGAAGAACATCAGAAGAACATCAGAAGAACATCAGAAGAACATCAGAAGAACATCAGAAGAACATCAGAAGAACATCAGAAGAA